TTCGCCGCCATTTTGTTAGTCAAAGAAAATGTTCCAACTTATTCTTTATTTAACAAACGTTACTAACGCTGTCAGAGCCCAAAACCTGTTGAATATGTCGATAGAGAAGGATACTTTAAAATAGGCTTAGAACAATACAATACGCCATAAAAATACGCTTAGAAGGATTGGGTAAAACTCCAAAATAACGATGTTTAATATTTTCCAGTGCTCAGGCCAGGCCACGTAACACCAAAATTTACCGAAAATGGCTCCAAAGCCAAAGCTTGTAGAAGCATTTGTGTACAAGTTCAAACCATTAAATGGAAGCCAATAGTCGGAAAGAAAAATTGACCGACCGTTTAAATCATCGATAAAAGATTTCCAAAGATTCAAATCTGCTTTTACAGACTTTGTCAAACAAATGTAGTAATGATTTACCCTAACTCCGTTTGTGATGTCAATCAGCCGACGAAGAAATGCTCTGCCTGGTACGACGACCATGCATGCAAAGTTCAACAAGCCAATCAACGACTGGCCTTTAACGTGGCCTTTTTCCTATTGAGGAATTCTCCGAGAAGCGTGCCTGTTTTGAGGATTTTGTCCTCTGGTAGACGGGCTTCCATAGCATGCGTATCGAGCTCAATGACAGCAAAAGTGAGGAAATTTACAGGACTAAACGTTTTTTCTGGAGCTATTGGCACACCGACATGAGCCCAAAGGGATGTAAACTTTAGTAATGCAACGCAACACTGGTCGAATGAAGGGACAGCAATGAGATAATCATCAAGAATATGAATAATATGTTCAATGCTCAAATTGGTTTTAGCGATCCATTCTAGTGCAGTGCTAAACATTTCAAAAGTGCGGCATGACGATGCGCAGCCCATAGGCATTGCCCGATCAAAATAGTTGTTACTCTGCCAAAACATTCCCAAAAGGGGGTAATCCTGTGGACATATGGGAATGATACGAAATTCATTCTTAATATCAGTTTTTGCCAAAAAACAGCCTTTCCCCAAGCAATTAATAATTGCAATGGCATTGTCCACTCGCGAATAAGAAACTGTTGTATATGCAGAAGGAATGCCATCGTTAATAGACGCCCCATGCGGAAAGGGCAAATGGTGAATCAACCGAAATTCGCCCGGAACCATTTTTGGCACTAAACCTAAAGGTGATACATGCAAGTTTGGAAATGAAATTTGAGGAAAGGGCCCCCAATTCTACCTGCCGCAATATATTTTTCAAGCTTAGCGCTGACCACTTCCGGATTTTAATTCGCCGAAACTAAATTGTGCGCCTGAATTGGGTTATAAACACCCTCAAAATGAAAAGGAAAACCATGCGTAAAGCCTTCAAATATTTCTAAAACGCTTTAGGCATTGTATCCTTGTAACAAAGGTAGTAAAGAGTTAATTCTTACGGGGCTTGGAAGGTTGTGTAGTTGTTGCTGATTTTCTAGCTATATGAAACTTGCCTGAGGAACGAAAATTACACCCTTTGGCTGAATGCTGCGAGCCACATTTAAAACATGTATGTTTGTAAGAGCAACCTGAACATTTAAATCCTCTGTGAAAGATTCCACAAAAACCCAATGGAACGAAGATGCCCGTTGGAGAAGACTGAGATTGTCCGGGACGTGACTGATAGACGCTATTACGACTAAAACTTTGCGCTCTGATCCCCAACTCAAAATGAGTTGTCCCCCAAGGCATATCGTGCAAATGAGATTGGCGCATATAACGAAACTGTGTGTCATAAAATTGCCAGTTTGCACCACTCGCGGCTAAATCGCGAACAACCTCAGAATACTTCATCAATGCAAGTGCATCCTGGGGAAACTTACTAGTGTATATCCCAACAAAAATCTGAAAGGCTGAAGTCCACATCTCAATGTTTGTTATAGGCTTAATATTTGTAGTAGGTTCTAAAGAAAGGGTGGGAATGAAGTCATCATTTTGAGTTACTGAGAGATGATATCGAGTTTCACATCCCCTTGAACTAAGAAGAGAACTGAAGTCAACACACTCATTTGCCCAAATTTTAGCTTTAATTTTTGAGCTTACTTGAGCATCAATGGGGATCGAAATTGAATTAAAATCTTTGCATGAAGAATGTGGACTTTCAACCGCCAGTAACATGGAATTTCAACAGTAACAGAGTATGGTTTTCATAGAATTCTTAAGCTGCTTCGTCTGGTTTCAATAAACAGGGGGCTAGTCACCGTTTTTGTACAAGGGTTGTGTTGAGCTGAGACCTAAAATAGAGCAAATATGGATACATAATGAAGTGGAGAACAAGAATAGAGGTTAACAATGGATCCAATTAGTCTAAGCAACTAGGTACATTTAAGCAATCCATCTTTTCGATGGTAAACACACGTGTCAAAAAAACTTGATCAAATTACAAAATTCGTGCAATCAAATGGTCGGACATTGTAATGTTTTCATAGAAGAGAGCCAATAAAATAAAAAAATTCTCTTCGGGCATTTGTAAATTCTATTTTTGAAATACAGATAGAATAATTATAAAGGCAGAAGGTGTAAGAGTGAATAAAAACCGTTTTCCGTCAAATCAAAGGAAAGCTTGAATATGACATGCAATATACAGGCATTAAGTTATGGAGAAAAATAAAAAAACAAATTTAACGTTGTCACGGATATTACGAGTGCCGTAACAAATTGTTGATGAGTTCCATATGCATTGTTCAAAACTAGCTTAAGAAGACAAAGAGCATTCCAAAAATATATGATGGAAAACTTGCTCAGCGCATCTACAAGCACCAATTTCAGAGCTCGCTCTATCACAATTTAATTGAGAATCTGAGCATGCGTTGTCAACTCCACAAACTCTCCAACCTCATAGTAACGACCAGCTGGATGTACTTGTACCGATTTTGGAGTAATTAGCTCGCTCAGTCACAAGTTTTAACACAAATCATCTGCGCATGCACAGTCTGCTTGAGCATGCGCAATCAACTTGACCAGATACCCAAGTTCATGGTCGTGGCAACGACCAACTCCATATACTAGCACCAATTTTGAAGTAAATAGCATGCTTAGTAAAATTTAATAGAGAAATCATCTGCGCATGCGCGCAAGCATGCGCAGTCCACTCGAGTAGTTATTCATAGTCATGACAACGACCAACTATACGTATTTGCACTACATTTGTGTCACTTAACTCATTTAGTCACAAATTATCAAAGAAATTATCTGCGCATGCGCAGTAACGATAACAATCATCCCACAACTTTCGTACGCCTTTAAATTTTGGTATATATATATAAAGCTAAAACTTCATATAGTAGATGTCAACTAGCAGTGGAAGCTGGGTGCGATATAGTATGCAGTGGCTTAGGGGCCCACACTTCGGTGGCGACCGCACTCTCCCTGCGTACCCTGAGCAAAGCCTATCGCAGGTGATCTCAGGGTCTGATGGGCGGAAGCTTGCTATTGGCATCTCCCAAGTAGGATAGCGTGGAGGGGCCGAAATCTCCTACCGAAACGTTAACATGCGGCGTTCTAGTGCCTTGAGCTTAAGGAGGTATCGGGAAGCATGGACCGAAAACGGGGTTTTTTTGCTTTCGAATTTTATCTTTTTGTTTTTCTCTCATAAAAAAAACCAAGCAATGTTTTAATTAACTTCTTATGACCCTGTCTTTATCTGACACTTATAATTAAAGACAACCTTAAACATGTTTTATACCATTTTTATCGCTTTATATCTTTCTGATTTAACTCTCTCATTTACTGTTTCTCATGTATCACGAGCAAACCATCCATATGCTTCATGGCAAACAAACAAGCATGGCGTGGTTCACATGCGACGCTCTAGTGCTCAACTATCACGGGTATCGGGAGGCACGGACCGAAAACGGGATTTTTTTGTTTTCAAAATTTGTCTTTTTCTTTACAATAATTCTACTCATAAAAGAAACTAGAACATCCAAGGATACTTCAAAGGTTCAAACAACTTCTGCCTTTTTGAATTATAACTTAAACAAACTCTAAGCATGTTTATACGTTTTTTACTTTTTAGCTTTTACAATGTAACTTTCTCATAACTCTCTCGTGATGAACGCGAGCCTCCTTATACAATATGACTCTTTCATCATGAACGAAAGCATCCATGGGCTTAATGGAAAAAAGGGATTATGTGCTTTGTTATAATAGTTTCAACAAAAAGCTAAGATATTTGAAAATAAATATATTTGAGTTATTATAGAAATAACAAGTCGAGAATTGATTGATCATACCCATTCCAATTGGTCTGGAACAACCATTACATTTATAATTTTGGCCATCTAGCCCTTTTTCCCGGGATATATTGTTAATTAACGACAGTAACTTTATACGTCGTTCTTGCTGAACATCTTCAGGTGAAGTAGGATCACCAATAATCTATTAAGTATTAAAACATAATTTATCCATAGAATTATAGCAAAGTTACGATGGACAGATATGAGTTATTAAAGCTATAAAACTTAAATTCAATATATCGTATAAAGTACCACAAATCCCGAGCATTTCTCGTATCGAAAGGATTCTAAACTAAAGATGAAAATTAAGATGAGAAATTTTGAAGAATTGAAACTAGAGAGTTTTTCAACAAAAAAAATGTTAAAAATACATGTACTACCACAAGATTCTTCAATGTCTATGCTCTAAAATAATAGTCATAAAAACGACAGTTTCAAAAGACGTAAAAAAACTAAGCATTTGTAACATTGGTGAAAGATACAGGATGAACATGAAACCTTCTCAGAAGACGATGGAACGAGACCATAAATATTTGATGTGAACTTCTTGCTAACAACGTTCGCGTAATACGCTAGCATACCATGAAAACTAACTTCTGGTTTGGGCGACGCTTTGCTAGCAACCTCCTCAACAACTTCAGGACAATTAACGCCAACTGAACTGGTGTCACAAGGCTCAAACGACGATGACCAACCACTAGCCATACCTAACATGTTACCACTAGAGATCTTTCTTGGGTAGATCAAGGTTTAGGAACTACAAACATGGGTTGTGTTGAGCTGAGACCTAAAATAGAGCAAATATGGATACATAATGAAGTGGAGAACAAGAATAGAGGTTAACAATGGATCCAATTAGTCTAAGCAACTAGGTACATTTAAGCAATCCATCTTTTCGATGGTAAACACACGTGTCAAAAAAACTTGATCAAATTACAAAATTCGTGCAATCAAATGGTCGGACATTGTATTGTTTTCATAGAAGAGAGCCAATAAAATAAAAAAATTCTCTTCGGGCATTTGTAAATTCTATTTTTGAAATACAGATAGAATAATTGTAAAGGCAGAAGGTGTAAGAGTGAATAAAAACCGTTTTCCGTCAAATCAAAGGAAAGCTTGAATATGACATGCAATATACAGGCATTAAGTTATGGAGAAAAATAAAAAAACAAATTTCACGTTGTCACGGATATTACGAGTGCCGTAACAAATTGCTGATGAGTTCCATATGCATTTGTCAAAACTAGCTTAAGAAGACAAAGAGCATTCCAAAAATATATGATGGAAAACTTGCTCAGCGCATCTACAAGCACCAATTTCAGAGCTCGCTCTATCACAAATTAATTGAGAATCTGAGCATGCGTTGTCAACTCCACAAACTCTCTAACCTCATAGTAACGACCAACTGGATGTACTTGTACCGATTTTGGAGTAATTAGCTCGCTCAGTCACAAGTTTTAACACAAATCATCTGCGCATGCACAGTCTGCTTGAGCACGCGCAATCAACTTGACCAGATACCCAAGTTCATGGTCGTGGCAACGACCAACTCCATATACTAGCACCAATTTTGAAGTAAATAGCATGCTTAGTAAAAATTTAATAGAGAAATCATCTGCGCATGCGCAGTCTGCTTGAGCATGCGCAATCAACTTGACCAGCTACCTAAGCTCATTGTCATGGCAACAACAACCTGCATCTACTAGCACCAATTTTGAAGTAAATAGCATGATTTGTAACAATTTAATAGAGAAATAATTTGCGCATGCGCTTGAGTATGCGCAGTCCACTCGAGTAGCTGTTCATAGTCATGACAACGACCAACTATACGTATTTGCACTACATTTGTCTCAATTAACTCACTTAATCACTAATTATCAAAGAAATCATCTGCGCATGCGCAGTAACGATAACAATCACCCCACAACTTTCGTACGCCTTTAAATTTTGGTATATATATATATATAAAGCTAAAACTTCATATAGTAGATGTCAACTAGTAGTGGAAGCTGGGTGCGATATAGTATGCAGTGGCTTAGGGGCCCACACTTCGGTGGCGACCGAAGTATGATAGGTTCTGTCTTGCATATGAGCAGAGATTAACCAAGCACTATTTAGTGGTAGAAATGTTACAATTGGTATTAGGAAATGAAAAATAAAATTTAATTATGAAAAATGATACAAAACTAATAATTATTTGTGTGGATATAGTTTATCCTCACAAATTTCAATTGAATCACCTTAATAAGATACAACGTAAATTTCTTAAATCTTCTAGGTATTGCATCTTTCTTTAATCTAGTATTTGCTTTGCTTCTATCAATGAGTTGTCTGAGGAAACACGTGAATACTTGTTCGGATACCAATCCTTACGACGAATTTCCTCAACCAAGAGTTACAACGAGTATTTATTTTCATCAGCTGGAAAACAAATTGGACACAGATACTGTTCATAAATAAACTATTTTTTTGCTTTGTTTTAGTGTATCATGCCAATTCCCTTCATAACAATTCCTGACTCCCTGTTGGACAACACACTGAGCGCAGGTCTTTAATGATGAACCTCCAATTTTTCTCTAATTCACTTTCGTTTTTAGTTAGTTATCAAATAATGAAATGAGTAGTCTAGTTAATAAAAAAAATTTCGAAAGAATATACGTAACCTGCCCTCGCGCGCGATTAACTTACCAATGAAATGACCAAGGATGTTTTCTTTTAAGCACCGAGTGGCTGTCATCACTTCCTTTACTATCACTACGCGCATTCCCCTTTTTTTCTCTAATTTTTTTTCGTTTAGCACAACCAAAAATACAGCATTCAGTTCCTCTAGCTTTAGCCATTCTTAAAGTTATAAATAACCTGAAACAATTTAGGTGCCAATAAATGATAAAAAAAAAGGCCAGTGTAATTTCTTTAAAACATAGAATAGTGCCTTCAATATGCTATAAAATAACTTTGAAAAAGATTGATTTTTTGATTTTTAATTTTCTACGCGAAGAAAATTCTAATCTGTTTTTCAACCACATTTGGTATACTTGTACAAGCCTTCATGTAATGATGACAGCTGAAAAACTTTTCCCCCCACAAATTGCATGAAATGACTATCACTGTGGCAGAAACTTTAAAGAAATTTCCATCTAATATAAAACGTTTGCAAAAGAAATGTTCCTACAGGTTTGTGTGATTATTTTCTTGTGTATTCTGTTGCTTTTCATGCTTGTAAACAAGCTAAAGTTTGCTTGTCAGATTATATTGCAAGGAAGACCAAGAACCCAATTCTCTTCCATGATTGTTGTAGAGCTGCTCCTTATAACCATGCATTATAACTATCAGTAAAATACATAGTTTAAACTAAATAATACATAGTTAAAACAGAATAACCAAGCCAATTTATTCCAACCAAAACAGACTCTAACTGACTTTTGTGAAGGAACTAAGAAATCAGCAGAAAAGACTGTCAACATTTGATGGTTTAGCCAGAACTTTTTCTATGTTAGGAGTCTAAATAAAAATCATATTATTTAAAGAACTAGAGTGCATGGTTCATTCTACAATTGAAAACCACAACACGCACGTACTTAATTCACTGAACCTCACATCACCATATAGTACATAAAGTCTTTTATCCTAAAACCATATTATATTATATTATATTATTTCAAATAGAACCATATTATTTTACAAAGTGCGATAGTCAGTCGAAGCACTTTATGCAATTACACGTATAAAAATATCGTTCATTTAAGACTTATACTTACAATAACATACTGATAAAGCTTTAAAGACTTACCAAATTAAAGTCGTCATTTTCGCATCTGGTAGGAATGTCGATGGTTGACTGCAGCTAGTTTTTACACAACATTTGTCAAGGATCGTTTTTTCAATATTTTCAAGAGATTTTGACAGTACAATCTATGTCATTGTTTCAAACAAGCGTGTTTATACACCAGTAGTTCACTCCTTCGAATTTGCGAATCAACTTTCTCCGCTTTGTGAAGTCGAAACAAAAGAAATTTTTTGTCCAAAATATCCTTCGCATCCTTATAATGTTGCGATGAGAAACTTGTCCGGATTAGAAACGGGTACAAGGCAATATATCGCAAAAGCTAAGATTCTGCAATACAGTGGGTCTCGAACTTCGACTTGAGCAGATTTACTTCCGGATTTCATTTTTGCAATAAGATGCGTTATCCAGTCCATTTCAGATCGGTGATGTTGATGCATGCGTTATCCATTAGTATTTACATATCAATGGTCAAACGTTTAGGAGTTAGCGTTCCAGATATATTTACTTCTATGCTTATAATCTACTCATTGAGTTATATTAAGACTGTCATCGAAATTACTATAAATCATTAGCGCGCGGTCTGTGTCAAAAACATGGCGGATTTTGGTGGACAAAGTCAGCGGAAAGACGCGAGCTCATGATATTAAACTTTTGTCACCCACCCGGATTTGACCACCACGAATGCGAGTAAAGAAAGTATAAAAACTATTTATCCAAACAAAACACTTTTTTAAAATTTTGTCTTTTTAAACAATCTGCACACTTCCGTGGTATGCGGATACCAAAGTAGCGACAGAAAAGGATACATTTCAGGACTGCGGTAAGTAGCATAGTATTGTTTATCATTTAAAGTGTTCAGTAGTTTGACTATTTTGTTTTTAACACGATACTTGACGAGTGTTTCTACTACTAAGTTATAATAATTTAAGTTAAGTTAGTCCATTCTTGTTTGTTCTTTACTTTATCGCTTACCAGATGAGGCAAAGCAGACAATTATTATCGAGTTTCGCATCTATCTTGCATTATGATCATCCTATGTTCTCCTGATGTGAATAGAGTTTACCTCCCAAAAAGGAAGAAGTTGTTCATATTGTTTTTGGAAAGTATGAGAGAAATGTTTAAAACCGAGTTTTGTTGAAATTGATGCAGTGTGCCATGCAAAATTAATGAACACTGTGGTATATGCCTTATAATAAAAATAACTGTATTTAACTGCCTGACTGCTCAATTTGATTGACTGTAGACAATCATAATGGGGTTGCAAATTTGGATTTATGCAAATAGTTTTATAAGTAAAACTTAGTGTTTCTGTAAAGGCTGAAACACACTAGGCAGTCGCTTTAGTCGCGCGTCTAAAACTACCGCTTTGCGTGGTTACTAAGCTAGTAGCGTAGTCGCGTCAGCTAGTCGCTTTGAAAGGTCAACATGTTGAAAACATGTGACTTTGACTTTGACTTTGACTTTGGTCGCTTCAGTCGCTTTACACTGATTGGCCAATAGATACATTTTAACTTCCTAATGCATATCATATTTCCTGTCATAAGCATCATACGAAATTTATAGATTATACCTTGGAAAACGAAGGCAATATATAGTGAATTCACACTGGAATCTTTCAGTTTTTATATGACTTATCAAATAGGGACAATAGGAGCTACAAACTGGAACCCTAATGCACAACCTAAATGCACAGAATAATATTACCCACAATATACGCGTAATGGACTATGATCATATTGGCGTGTTTTAACTGACTTGTTCTCTTTTCTCAACATAGTAGTTTGTACTGAGTAAATATTCATATATTAGTAGCTATAATAAAGGCCAAAATAAAAAGTTTAAGTGATATCTGTATCTGTAACAAACTAAAATCACCGTCATTTTCAATAGACGCCACGGTAAAAGTCCCGATGGTCGCTGCATGTGTGTTTCGAGCGTTCAAGCGACTGACGAGTGCGCATCAATTCGCTTTGGACGCGCCTGAAGCGACTGCCCAGTGTGTTTCAGCCTTAAATGAAGTATTTATTGTTATAGTAAACAGGTAAGTACTTCAAAGCCAAGATAAAAGTGTGTGTTGAACTATGTGCTAAGATTTGCTCATACCTTGAAATTTTGGTTCAACAATAGCTTATGATTATATCATTTATATACATGAAATATTAAACACGTTTCCTCATGTGACAAAACCCATACTTGGTATAATTTCAGGTGATCCAAAAAACTAAAAGGGATGCATTGGTTGCAATGAAAATGAATGTAGAAGAAGCAAAAATAGATGGCAAAGAACTTCTTTGTGTCTTATGAAGGATTAGTAGAAATTAATAGAAAGAATACTCAAAAACACATTTAAATTGCTCATGGTCAAGCAACCTATTCAAAGAAACAAACTCTGTCTTCAACATTTGACCTTTCCAATTATGTTTAGTTAAACTACATTAGTTTCTTCGTCCAAAACACTATTTTAGAGAAACTTGATTTGTAAGTCTTTTGTTAGTATTTTTTTTATCAAGAGATAAAAGGAACAAATTCAAAGGCATGATGTACAATACAAAGATTCATCAAGTTGCTTATCATTTAATTCTCAATTATTAGTTTTTACATACAAATAATTAGTAGTGGTAGCTGTAACTTAATCGGGCATAAAAGAAGAGTAGTAGTGTTTAAAGTAGCAAGCATTTTTGAAAAATTGCATCTTCTTCTTGACATGCATTACATAATCCCAAAAGATTATAAGTAATGCACAATAATACCTGCAGGTTGCTGAACTACCTAAATTTCTTTACCTACACTTCCAATTAGCTATTTTTGCCTCATGAAGGTATAGACAGAGTATCTTTGTCAGCAAAACCAATGCACTTCAGTTTCCAAGTTTGTAATTTCTATGGAAAATTAATGTAGTTCTGTTCAGTAGTAAATCCAAGGTTGTGCCAAGTAGTTTGCAAATCAGAAATTTCCAGCAAATAGCATCATAGTATTTTGAATTTTTTTTGTAGTTCTTTTAGTTAATAAATTTTCAGTAGATTTATCAGGTAATGATTACATACTTTCCATGGTATATTTTCAGTTGACTTATGTCGTAGGATTAAAGCAAACATTCTCTCGTTACTTTTGGGCATTTTAACAAAAATTTGTCCATTCCAGCAAGAAAAATAGTTGCACCAAACTGTTTTCAAAGAGTCAAACACATAGTAGCATGAAATTATGTGTAAGCTTAACAACTTTGAAAGACCTAATAAAAATGCCGATTGATTTTCACTTTCAAATAGACAAAATGTCATAAAATAGCTTAACTGCTATAGCTAAGATAAGCGTTTCTTTACCGTAAATTTTCTTTATTTTGATGTGTGTGTACTGTGTATTTCACAATATTCAGTCTGAAGCACTATTTTCAAACATGCTGTCAGTATCGTGGTTGTTTTTTTTACTAGTTATTGTTTATATAAAGAGTATGATAAATCAGGAGGGAGTGAATATGGAAAAGTGTTGAAAGTGGAAGTTTTGACCACCAAAATCCATTGAGCTAGATACATGGAACGCTACCTAAAATACAAAACCCTAAGAAGTTTTTGAAGCCGTGATTTTACCCCAGACACGCGAGACTTTACCACAGACACGAGTGTGTAGTCAATCAGTAATTTAGAGAGGTAAACAAAGCGAAACACAATTTTCTTGTAAAAAGGATTATGCAAGTTGACAGAATATTGAAGCTTGCTACAAGGTCAAACCAATTTACGAATTATTTAATAAAGAGGTGTTATAATACGAGGACAAGGTTCGATCGAAAAATAAGTGAAATCGTGACGCTACTCGTTATTTTTCACTGTTCATTTACTTCATTGTCACTTTACAATTCTTCGTCTGTAATTTTTGCATCAAAAACCTCTCCATACACATCCGTTTCCTATTCTTCTGTTGTATTAAACACGAAAGGCATTAAAAGAGTTCAGTGCAAGAAATGGGTGCTTTCTTACACGAACATCTATTTCTTGAGCAACCAACAGTGCATTTACGCACAATTGTAAATATTTAGCACATCGATTCGTGCACAACTGCCATCCATCCAATCGATGGAGATAGACTTATTTTTGTCAATTTTTCATTCATAGTTGGACGGATTTGGTGGGCACAGTGACGATTTCCATATTGCTGCTCGGTAATTGGGACAAATATTGAGATAATTTGATGTATCTCTCCAGACAATATTTATTAGGAGGTAAGTTGTATATAGCCATGTTAATGCCAATGCCAGGCATTGAGTGGTAAATCTTACATTTTACCTCCTCCAGACTCTTGTGAAATTCTTCAGTGCTTACGAAATATTCTCCAAGTTCTTAAAGAACTTTGAAAACTTGGGCATCTTCTGACAGAAGCTTACAACTTAACACTTTGCTCAGTCCATAAAACAAACTGGTTGCGTCAGAGCGTACCAATAAAAACAAATGAATACTAATTATTTTTCAAATTATTAAAAAAACCTAGTAATGACACCAGGTTTTCTTAAAGAGTAGTGCTATTTTTTTGAATTGCCTTGACTTTAGTAGATTCACATACTCACTTGTAAATGCATGGAGTCCAATCGTAGCCTTGTATTTCTTTCAACCCGAAAGAAGTTTTCAAAGGATTGATGACTTGTGCTGCGACCATGAAGAGGCTGATAGACAAGTGTTATTACATCCATCTCATGCAATAACATTTCAGAACATTGTTATCAAAAGTCCCGATACTGATGTTTTTATTTTATTGATATATTTTTGTTTAGATATAAATCTGCCAATTTATTTTTTTACTGGTGCTAAAGAAAATGCTCGTCTCATACATGTTGCCAAAATTATCAAGTTTTTAGTAAAAGTAAATGCGAGGCTATAATTAAATCGCATGCAATCAAAAGAATGACTCTGAAGATGACTACCGCTAAGTTTGTCGAAACGTCAGTCAGCAACAACAAAAACAGTCCTTCTCAGGACTATACCAACCTGGGCGATCTACACTTACAAACATGTAACGATACATTCGTAAATGGATTTGACCTGGTAGCAAGCTTCAATATTCTGTCAACTTGTATAATCTTTTTTACAAGAAATTTGTGTTTTGCTTTGTTTACCTCTCTAAATAAACTGTGAGCCCGTGGCTCAAAATTAAAGCGGTATGGTTTAATTTCATGTAAAAAGGTAGCCTAAACAACAAAACGGGAGTTATCTTCATCGTCAAAATTCTAAAAAACTGCGGGTTTTGGTGAGTGGGAAAAAAGAAATTCAAATTTAGCATGTCGAAAACTATAGAATACCGTTGATAAAATTTAGCACCGCGATGGTGGCTACGAAACTTTATTTCTAAGGACATTTTGATTACACAGGCAACGGACAAGTACTTCAGTTCAATGCCAAATCCACCATTAACGCGATGTTTTTGACAACTGGATCCAGTCCTCTTCATACTTCCAGTTTTTTTACACGTCGATGACTCTACTGGATTCACTGATATGTATATTAGACTGGATAACGCATCTCTTGCGAAAATTGAAGCCGGAAGATCGATCATTTGCTACTGTCTTCATGGGGAGTATTGGTTCCACTTTACTATACTTTTGTACTACAATATCACAATTTTCGCGTTTGTATTCCTTTTAAAAAATTCTGATTAAGGCAAAATTCTTATGACATGTAGAGGAAAACCAGTAGTGAGTTTTAACACTGAAGCTCTGTTTTTTTGGCTTTGTAACGACTGAAAATAAGAAGGCAATTTGTATTGAAATTTGAAAGTTGACGTGGAAATTTCAGCCGTGCGAGCAGGGGCGTAACTTTTGGTGTGGGGGTGCGACACCCCCCCAATTGCTGAAAGCTGTGTTTTTGCAGGGCATATTGCCGTCAAGTGCCAGGGCAGTGTTCAGGAAGTAGAAAAATTGCCATACCATCGAAAACAACTAAATGATTAGTAAGTGGAAATAACAAACCTTCATTTTTGACAATTTTGGCTTAATTCTACAGTGCAACGTGTCTGTAAGATGTGTAAGATGAAGTAAGTATAAATGCAGATACAGATTTCGCTGGATACTGTTAAGATATGCTCTCATATTCTTCCTGTAATTGGTAAATAATTAATTATTGATTATTTTAAGAGATATTTATGTGCAATAATCACAATATTTTTTATAGTTCCTAATAGCTTTCCGTTGATTGTAAATTAACCATATTTAGTAAAGAAACAAATATATCCACACGTAATATCTTGTATAAATAGAAGTAGTTTAACCATTGTACGATAGATCGTAGACCATAGACATTGACGTTGAACATTAAATGTGATCATAACAGTTATCTGTAATATCTCTATTTGTTGGTGTAAGTCAATATATACTAAAGAAGGTAGATGGCTACATCACAAAATCTAACAGATACAATGATTGCAAATGTAAAAACATGCTAATGCTAATTTTTGCATTGTCGAAAGCCGTGAAGCGAGCTTCAATCCAATAATTTCATCGAATTCTATGCGGTTTTGTATATTTGGGCGAGAAAGACTACTTTTCAATGGAAGGTTAGTTATATTTACCGAAGTTTGTAGACCCACAATTACCGAAGGAGAGTTGTGAGTTTATTGTATGCTGTCATAATTTTGATGTTTACTCAGAACATTTCTAATTTAATTGAAATTTCTCTTAAGAGGGAGGCGCAACTAGAATTAAAGATGATAACGTTCAGGAGCCATGCGCAAAAAAAGCAAAACCTCAACGTACACGAATTTTTAGACGAAAGGTTAAATGTAAAGATTGTGGTGCAGAAATGAATGCTGATAATTTTTGAAGCACATTTCAAATAAACACAATGGTATGGCAAAATCCCAAGATGTTGTAGAAGCATCACAAACAACGCTTCATTTTTCTAAGGTTAGTAAAGTGTCACTTACTTATATATGTACATGGTAAATAAAATGAAATTCTTTAGCATGCGTTATAGATCTCTTAGAAAATTGCTGGTTAGTTCTGTATAAGTGCCGTTCAATTTATGTGAAATAATTGATAATTCTTGTTGCACAAAACTTTGTTATTCTGCTCTGTTGCAGAAGCAACTATCTCTGTTATTGTGAAGGACACTCATACCATAAAGTTTCAATGTATTCTTATTTATTTTAGATCCTTCCAACTGCCCCTGTTACATGTGAAAAAAACAAACAAAACTACAGCATCAAGAGGGACTTCATCAAACAACTTCCACCACCGAACAAAACCGAAAAACCTGCCATGTTTGTTTTGAAAAAGGACTACTAATCCTAAAAGGACATAAAAAGAAAATTTTAAATAAACGCTCTAAACTTTTTAGTGCATGCCGTCGTTAATTTAACACCTCGTAACGAATTGTATATACAGTGAATAATAAATAATCTGTCAGTTGTCTGAAGATCGCCCTACTGCGTGAAACTCCGAAAAAATTACAGCTATTGTCTATTTTATATATATATATGTATATATAATTTAATAAATAAAATACATTTCTTAAAATGTTGCTACTCGGGGAGTCTGGGTTCCATGCCAAAGCAATCTTCAGGCAATGTATCGTTTTCTAACGTTAAATACTGTTTAAAAATTTGTTATATCTGAGTATGTAATATCTGAGTATGACGTTGAAATAATTAAATTAATTTTTTAAAATGTTATTTCTAAAGTAATTATATTTTGGTCTTTTTTAGGTTGATGAAGAAGAATCTGTTAACGAACAAGAAGAGAGAGAGAAATCTCACCTGTCATGAGAAACTTGCGTAGCTGAATTAAACATATTGGCTGAAAATGTTAACCACTGCAAAAAAACTGTCACTGAAACGTTGTCCTCAGAAATAGTGTTTACTCAAGAAATTGTAATGCATGTCCTTGTTTTTGTGGGCAACGCCCTTTTGCAGGGCAAATTTTCTCCACACCCCCCCATTACTTCAAGTCTAGTTACGCCCCTGCGTGCGAGGCATTTTGAGAAGATGAATACTTAAATTACAAATTTACAACAAAGTTAGAACAAAGGTATTCATGTCTTCAACATATTCATCGATATTGAAATTGTTCACATAGGAACTGATTGAAAACTTTGCTTCGCTTAATGACAATAGAGGTACTTTAATTCGCATATTTTGATGATGTACGTCTCGTAGAGTTTGATAATAGCGTTTTCAACTTACTATTGTTCATTTAAATGTCTTTCTGATTATTTTAAAATGTCGATCTGTTTTGTTTCTTCACTGTTATAATAAAGACGTAATTTGAAATTATTATGATATTAGCGATGTGAATAACAAAGTGTTGTTACATAAGTAAATTTGTTGCAATCTTCCATAAACGTCATTACAAATGAAATTTTGGTAGCAGTAGTAGGATTCTATAATATTTCTACATTTTTTAAGAATCAGCAGCATCATATAATCTCCAATTTGCTTCAAGACAATGCAGGTCGACCTTGTACCATCTCAATTTTCTATCATTATAATGCCAATAAGACAAACTTTTTAGGATTAAATATCTTTGCCAATTGTTCTGTCCTTTTCACAAAAATTTTGCTCGAATCAAAAGTTTTTAGAACAAATAGAAACGCAAAAACTGTGATTTTGTAATACAAAAGTATAGTAAAGTGGGCTGATACCCCACACGAAGGTTATAATCAGATGAGCCAACTTCCGGCTTCAATCATCTTACTATATTTTATACATAATGCGTTATCCAGTGTAATATACATATCAGTGACTGGATTTAGCAAAACTAGTTCCAGACTCCTAATGCAAACGTGTTTTGAAATTTGAAGTTTTGTTTTCTGTGTGATGATGAAGTCTGTGTACAGCTTTCTTCATTCGATATATTTGTGACCCGTTTTTTTCGTCGAACGACACAATGTTTTATATGAAGCTAATTATTTCTTGCGGTAAAAGAAATATATACAAATATGAATTTATAAATTTATATACTTGAATTTTTACACTGGAGAAATTATGAAGAGACAATGTGCTCTTTGGATCGGAACAATATGGTTTATTGTTGTTATGATAAGGTGAGAGACTTTGCACTATGTTAATAACTGTTTTAAAGTATTATTTTAATTTTTTATTTGATAATTTGTTAACGAACGCCATGTTCTTGCTTTAACATGCTAAGCGATATTGATGAATTGGGGCATCCGTTGAACAATCTGAGAAATTCACAATGTCAGTCAGATGTGTAGTTATGTTCAAAGCATACGTTCATTTTTTAGAATTAGTTTTCCACATGACATCTTTAATAAAGGGTCAGGTGTATTTAGCATTTCTATGTAGCCTACTATAAAATGTATTATAGAAGAGGAACTGACACATAATGCACAGTGGAAAATTTAGTAAAATGAATGTTAGTTTGATTCATATTTGATCTTGCCATCATATTATGCTTAGTTGTTCAAACCTTCCATTTTTAAAATCTAGTTACATATTTAGTATTGTTAAGCTACGATTCATTTCAATAGTATTTCTATTTCAGTGAAATGTCTAAATATTTGTATTATGATCAAGAAAAATGCCGATGACTATAATTCCATTTTAGAGTCATATATGCTTATACCAATGTGATGTTTTAGATATCTGTGCATCACTAATTATATCTGCCCTGAAAATTTTTAATCAACAAATGTATTAGGTTTCCAGAAAATGACAACTTGGTTCAGGCTGAGAAGGAAATTGATGGGCTGAAGAAAAATAGATTGCAGAATGAGGAAATTTCTCAAAAACAGGTATGAAATTTAAAGCAATTTTGCAATTTAAACTCAGGAGTGAAATTTGCTCAGAAAGTTATTTTGACTTTTGACTTACAATATATTATCTAGCGGCATGTGATGGCTTATTTGAGCAAGTTAATGTGGAGTGAAGTTAAAGTTCTTTTTAAAGTGCCTATGTATTTCAGAAATAAAAATTTTACTGTTTAAGTTGTACTTTAATGGTACAGATATTTTAAATTGGCACTGGGATTTTTTTAAGTTTATGCATATTTCTTTTCATTCTCAAGATTTTGAAGTTTTTGTTATTTCCAATTTTATCTAACTTGTGACGTCACATTGCATAATGAGAACTAGAATTATTTAGGTATATTTATTCATATGTCTGTTCTACACGGAAGAGTTCTCTTAATTGTGAAAAGTTACTTCCTATAAAATGCTTCATAGAATTTTCAACCTATGTCAAGTTATCAGGAATTAAATAATATTTGAAACATTGCCTCCACCATTATGCAATGATGTCACAAGTTAGATAAATTAGGAATTAAAACACAAACTTCAATTTTTCAAGAATGAAAAGAAACATGTATAAACTGTTTAGAAAGTACACTGTTATTTTAAAATTTCTTTTCAATGTAAGCACAATTTAATTGGCAACATTTTTGTTTCATAGGCTCTTTATAGATGATGGGGATCGTAAATTTAAATGACATAATTACTTTTTTTCATGGAATTGTGTTTGTTCAGACTTTCTAAAGATATTTAACTTCTTAAGAATTGTGCAATTATCACCAATATCACATAGGTAACATTGTGAAATAACAACTTAAAGTGCATTATTTTTCAACCTAGTCAAAACATTTAATTTGCAAGTGCAAGAAATAAATAGATACATAGATCATCAGAATTATTTATTTCTGTAGAATTTTTTATGCAGTGAGGTAACATGGAAATATTTAAATTGTGCAAACAGATTGTTGAGCTAGTGTGTGTTGGGGCCCAAAACATTGAATATTTTACGATAGAACTAGTCACCTAATAAAGAGTTTAATCTCTTCTCAAAGATTCTAAGTAATAACTGTCAAAATTCAACCTAGTAAGATATTAATTCATTTAAAATAATGTTTGTAATGCAATAAGGAAACTAGTAAAATAGAGACTTTGTCGTAGCGACAAATTTAAAAATCGTTTTGACAAGAGCAAATACCACTGTGAATGGTCAATATTATGACGTAGCTACGTAATTGCGCTTAAAAGAACTGTTTAAAGCAGAACACTAACCGAGCATTTCTAAAAGAACTGTATTTTTTATTTTGCGCTCTTTTCATTTTTTCGCTCATAAAACATGCGACCTTTTTAATTTTACAAAAATAGGTACGAGCGTACACGTGTGTTGTGTGAAATGACATCCTCGCAAATGAATACATGGCAATAAAGTGAAATGAAAAGATGAACAAATTGTAAATTATGTTATGTATATACAAAATCATAAACATAACAATTCAAAAAACAAATTTCACGAGCATCTTAATTTTAAAGACAAAACATACTCTTCCGTAATGTTAGCCATCGCAGCGTTGCCGAATTTACCTACATAAATACAAATAGTTAAGTACATTCGTCCATGGCCCAGTGAATTGTTATTGCATATGTGATAGGCTACCGGAATCTTTCAAAATGACTTGAACATCTTAAATGTTATGAAATGTCTTCTAGATTTACAGGCTGTTTTTCTATTGGCATATGCTTCGTTTTATCTTTGAATGTTATTAATGATGTTTTGCGTCATTAATGATACTTTTGAGTAAAAGAATTGAATTTTAACTGACAGTTTGATTGTCTGTAACCTAGATCTCAATACAATACAAATTGTGCTTTGCCTACACAAAACGTATTTCGCCGTAAACACAAGTCATAAACTTGAAAATTTTATTGATAAATTCATTGCCGTTATGAATGAAAAGTACACAGCGTTTTTGTTTGTCGAAAATTACATTGTTTATGGACATCCATTTCCAACATAGAGATCGATCATATAGATGGAAATACAGATCCTACTTTTTTACAGTATAACATAGTGGTTACCCTGCCAAAAGGGTACCCATAATGGGTGGCCTGTAGAAAAGGCTATCCCGAGTACGAGAGCTTACTTTCAACAAATTTGATACTGCTTATTATTGGTACGTGGTTGCTGTTTTCTGTGCATACTGAGTATTATGTTTACTTTTCCTTACAGGCTGATTATGTCACAGCTCAACAAGAACGCCCTGAAAGTTCATCAATTGAAGAGTACCAAGATACCATGACACCCCACGTTTTACATCAACGTACATTTACTGTACCACCCTTTGTTCTTCTAGCTACGCCTTGTGAAAGTGGACAAGTAATGTCAACACTTTCAGAGCAGAAATCAAAACATGAATCATTGGAGAAAGACAAAATATCATCAGCTTATTTTCACAAGAACGACGATGTAGTGTCAATGGCTTTTTCAAATGCAGATAAAATGTCTGATAATGAAATATCAAGTATGCACCAGGTTAGATCTGACGTAGGTCTTACGATTTTTAAAATATTTATGTCAAATAGTTTTGGTCGTGCACCATATCAGGCCTGTCTACTTGCACGCATGTAAACGCTACTTATGAAGTATATAGACGTAATATCACTTGCGTTCTAGCTTTACCCTTCTGCTAGGGTTGCCATATCTCCATGTAAACAGGCCCTTGGTGGTTTCATTCCACGAACTCCATGATGTTCATTAAACATGGGTTACTTATTTCTCCCTTCATTTCACGTTCAGGCAATTTTTGATTGTAGATCTGCGTCTCTTGTTTTGGTTGTTTTTGCATGTTGTGTTTGCTAGTTTGACAAAAAATGCTTTTGAGTGCCACATTACTATGATATTTTCGCGTTTGTTCAATATTTGATACATGAAACGAGTATCGAAGATATTAAAGGAATGAATGAATGTCTGTTGTATTTGTTTTTAGGTGAATAAGGAGGCAGATTATTTAGAACAGCTTGTTAATACATTGGAGCGGACTAAACCCAATAGCCAGAATGGCGATTTTAGGACGGGGACTTCAGTTGTTGTTGACATTCTTACTGGATCTCAAAAAACTGGTTACGAAGACAGCAATGTGGGCTCATTCCATGCAGCAGATTTGTGGCAATATGAAAAGGAAGTGGAAGAACCATCAAAGTAATTGTTTTATTAATTTTTATTGTGAATAGCAGCTGTGCGTGCGTAAATAACCACTATGCTATCAAAAAAGTATCTTTACATGTGTTTACTGACGTTTCAGTATTTACTGACGTTTCGACAACCTTAGGGTGTGGTGTTTGTGACGAGGGTTTTTGTACAAGTAAGTGCCAGATCAAGTGGATTACTGGTGAACAGTTATTTTACGTTAAAAGACACTAGTACACAGTTGTTGGATATTTGCATAGTGTTCAGTTTTTAATGAAGTTTTCAGTGGATTGTAGCTTGTGTTTTGATTTGCTTGTAAGTGGTTGAAGTATGTCAGTGAAGTAAGTGGTTGAAGTATGTCGCATGGGTCTTTGATTTACTATATAAGTTTATTATATAAGTTATTATGTAAGCTCGTATATGTACCTTCCTCATAAATATCCGACAGCATGGAATGTTTATGTTTTTGTGAAAACAAACTTGTATAGCAAAAGAGATGACCTCTTTAGCTCATTATTTTTATTATTTTGTTTTTCATATCATAATAATAAGAAATGATTGAGTGCTCTTCAAATTCAATTGCAAATTCATATTGCATTTTTGTGAAATGAGTGCAGTTAATGCTGCACTCAATTCGCTGCCAGTTAAAACAAAAGCCAATGAAACAGCGTGTTTTTCTCCGTGATGAATCATACGCTTAACAATGTTCAACTAATTAAATTCAATGTTTCCAACAATGGGAAAGTATAATTTTGACTGGTATTTTTATTTAAGTATTTACTAGATCATTTCTGATTGTTACGAGCTTAGCAATAGAACGCTAACCCCTTTATTTTTCTGCTGTGTAAATATTTAAGCTAAAAAACACAATGGCCAAGGCATTACGGTGTAGCTTTTAAGGAGGCACCCTACAGTTCACCCGAGATTCGTGTGTTTTACGTAACCTTCACTTATAACATTATTTGATCAAACACACTCAAACTTTGGAAATATGAACTTTACCGAAATATTGAAGAATGCCAGTAAAGTCTAAAAGTCATTTACTTCCTCGACATCACGTTCAATCTAAAGAATTCTTCCCGTCGACCTTACACTAAGCCCAACACCTCTTTGCAATACATCCACCACGAAAGCAACCACCCACCAAGCATTACAAAGAACATTCCCGATACCATTAACAAACGCCTTCATCCTTATTATCCGACAAAGCATCATTCGACCATTCACTGTTTCGTCCGGTTTCTTGTTGTTTTTGTCGGTTTGTGTTTTGTTTTGTATTTTGTTTATAGTTTTGTTTATGAAGTTTTTAGGGTAACTGTTTTTAATAAATGTGGAGTATAAGTAGTTCTGTTTTCTTGGCTTCTTCAGTGTTACAATGAGTGTTTATCCTGTTAAAAAGTGTTCGAATGCAGCTTATTTTGTGTTGTGTTGGGTGATTGCTGTTGAAATCGAGTATTTGGTCTGTGTGGGTGGTTTTGCGGTATACTTGTGGGTGGTTTGCGGTAAATCTGTTCTGGTTAGTAGGATGTCGAGGAAGTAAGTTGTTTGTCGTGTTCTTCGCTTTTAGTGAAGGTTATGTTCTTTGCGGTATTGTTTATGGTGGGTAGGATTTGTTCAGTTTTGTCTTTCTTGACTATGGCAAAGATGTCGTCTACATATCTTTTCCATAGTCTGATGTATGTGTTGTTTGTTACTGATTGTGTTTCGAGGTGTTGCTTGACGGCTTCTGCGAGAAAGGTGGATAATGGTGACCCTATTGGTCTGCCTGAAATTTGTCTGTAGTATGTGTTTTGGAAAGCGAATTCAATGGAGAGGCAAAGGTTGAGTAAGTCTAGGATGTCATTTTTGTCTAGTTGTGTTGTAGCTTGCCAAGTTTTGTCGTTTGTGTCGTTTGTGGCAGAGGTTATTGGCTATTTTGTGACGAACGTCTTCTTTCGTTTGGTCTATTAATTTGGTGTACTTTGAAACGGATTCCAGGTCTTGATTTATAATCAAGATCTTACAAACAATTCCATCCCAACACAAACGAATTTGTCACAAACATCTCGAGCAAACCACTAACCGATGGGCAAACTAAAATCCTAAAGAAAAGATTATATTAAAACTTTAAAGACGCGAACAAACTTGACTACGTTGCCGACCTGAAATCAGCTTCAAAGTACACCAAATTAATAGACTAAACGAAAGAAGACATTCGTCACAAAATAAGCAATAACCTCTGCCACAAACCACCAGTCACCCTAAACAACGAAGAACTACGAGCAATTAAAAACCTACAAAACGACGACCAAATGATCATATTACGAGCTGACAAAGTACGCAAAACAGTTATCATGGACAGATCAGAATACATCAACAAAGCCAAAACCCTCCTACGAGACACCACCACCTACAAACCTCTCCACGCAGACCCCAGCAAAACGACCACCAACCGCATCAACCAGAAACTGAAACAACTAAAAGACAAAAAGAAACTGACCGAAAACGATTACAGAAGAATCCGACCCAATGTGCATCCACCGCCAAATTCTACGGGCTACCAAAACTTCACATCGCTTCCAGGATCACTTACGTATGAACTTTTGAAAAATCTTTGTAACATTCTCTATCCATTAGTCAAAAATTCACCACACACCATCTGAAATGCCACCACTTTCCTCGCCAGTATTGAAAACATTAAACTACGACCACACGAACTTATGATATTCTACGACGTGACATCACTAAACATATCACATTCATACCACTAGACATAGCCAAACAAATCACAAACGAACTCCTCCCAAACGACAAAACTAGGCATGCTACAACACAACTAGACAGAAATGACATCCTAGACTTACTCAACCTTTGCCTCCATCGAATTCGCCTTCCAAAACACAAACTACAGACAAATTTCAGGCACACCAATAGGGTCAGCATTATCCACCTTTCTCTTTTTAACAGGATAAACACTCAATGTAACACTGAAGAAGCCAAGAAAATAGAACGCAACTGCTTATACTCCACATTTATTAAAAACAGTTAGCCTAAAAACTTCATAAACAAAACTATAAACAAAATACAAAACAAATCACAAACCGACAAAAGCAACAAGAAGGACGAAACAGTAAAAATCATCACATTACTATACATAGACGGATCATCAGAAATGGCTGCCAGACTTCTTCGACCATTTAACATTAACGTCGCCCACAAACTTACACAAAAACGCAAATCATGTTTCACCAAACATAAAGACGAAACAACAATTTATGATACAACTGACGCGATCTACATGATACCATGGTCAAAGCAATACATTGGACAAACATCAAAGAAAATCGAAACAAGACTCACAGAGCACAAAAACGCTATAAAACGACAAAATCCCAACTCACTACCGACCGAACATACCCACGGAAACAACCACACATTCGACTGGACCGAGACTAAAGTTCACAGTGAATATTGAAAGTATTTTGTGTAGAAATTGAATAGTATAGCAGGAATAATATATATTTTATTGTGCTGCATTCTGTGGTTAATTTTACTTTTTATGTAATGTTTTATTTATGTAATTTATCGTAGGGAATCGTCATCCGCACGTCGCGATATCTCAGAACCCACAGTTGGTGAAGACAAATTACACTTCGCCAAAAAATTATCATCAAATGAAAAAAATTCAAGTAACCCCTTAACAGCTAATGAAGACAATGTAAACTCTCTTAGTAAGGGAAGTGTTCAACGAATTGGACATGAAGACTATTCACCTTTAGAAACAATGGATGCTAGAAATGTTCCAGAGAATGTTAATAATGTTGAAGAAAACGAGAATCCATTGTCTGATGGTAGCACAAAAGATGATATTGAAGTCTTGCAGAGTAAAAACGAACATGCTCGCGATGATATGCCATCTTTCAATGAGTGGAGTCAAAAATTCTTAGCTCAAGAAGAAGAAAAGAAAGTTGCTCACATTAACGATAAAGGAACTGCAGAAGATGGAAGTCAACCAAAGAAAAAGAACATTGATCGCAAACAAAACAATTATGCGTCCGTTGATTGCGGGGCAATAATCTCTGAAACAAACCCAGAGGCGCAAAACTCTCATTCTGTTCTTCTCGAGAACAAGGACTTATATATGCTGAACCCGTGCAGTGCTAAAATTTGGTTCGTTGTTGAGTTGTGTGATCACATCCTCGTGACATCGTTACAACTGGCTAATTTTGAGATGTTTTCGTCAACAATTTCAAAATTTCAAGTGTCTTTTAGCACACGATATCCCACTAGAGAATGGAAAAAACTTCAGGTGTTTGACGCTAAACCTGAGAAAACTATACAAACTTTTGCTCTCGATCCAATTTTTGCAAAGTACATAAAGGTCAGTTTTTCCTTATAATGAATGAATGAATGAATGAATGAATGAATGAATGAATGAATGAATGAATGAATGAATGAATGAATGAATGAATGAATGAATGAATGAATGAATGAATGAATGAATGAATGAATGAATGAATGAATGAATGAATGAATGAATGAATGAATGAATGAATGAATGAATGAATGAATGAATGAATGAATGAAAGAATGAATGAATGAATGAATGAATGAATGAATGAATGAATGAATGAATGAATGAATGAATGAATGAATGAATGAATGAAAATGAATGAATGGAATGAATGAATGAATGAATGAATGAATGAATGAATGAATGAATGAATGAATGAATGAATGAATGAATGAATGAATGAATGAATGAATGAATGAATGAATGAATGAATGAATGAATGAATGAATGAATGAATGAATGAATGAATGAATGAATGAATGAATGAATGAATGAATGAATGAATGAATGAATGAATGAATGAATGAATGAAGGAATGAATGAATGAATGAATGAATGAATGAATGAATGAATGAATGAAGAACGAACTCGGTATTTCGTCGTCAAAATATTATTCATATTATTTCTTGCATATATTAATTTTCTTAAAAAACAGGCGTAGCAGGCATTTTCTCGAAGTTGTGCAGACCCTTTCTGCTTTTAGAAGTTTAAGTTTTGCGCAGGCTGCACCAGTAAATACACTGTGGACAAAAGCCCCATCTCCGAGGAAAGGTTTTTTCACTATTATCTTCCCAAAAAAGAACTTGAACGCCATTTTGTAGTGGCCATAATCTCAATTCTCAAACATGGGAATATTAGCAGCTCTTGCAGCTACCTGGCAACACCTCGTGTATAGAGTGAGGCTTAAAATATGAAGTGTCAACGCCTGCTTTGAACAAAGCAGTTTCAGTCAAATCGGCTGATAGTATCTTTATTAGTTGCACCATGTGTTTTCGTGTCGAAAAACAGCAACGTTTCGATAATTTAACTTCCTAAGTGATCACATTTAATAGAAGTAACTATCAAACAACTTGGCACGCTGTTGAATTTTACTTCTATATTTATTAAATGATAAATTAACTGCTTATATAAGTTCAAGCTGGAAAGATAGACCTAACAAGACGTACGCAATATGTAGATATTGGCCATAAAACATTTTTTAGTTCAAAGCTGTATCACGATTGTAAAACTTGTCGATTGAGTGACTGATTTTATTGAACGAGATTTCTGGTGGAAGGGTGAAAGGAAGTCTTCGACCACAATATGCTTTTGAAACAAGTGAGATATTTTGCATGGGGAACTACATTTAATACGATTTTTCTAACCAAAGTTGTTTAAAACCTTCACAGTTACTTCCAGATCGATGTTCCCCATGCAGAAATTTAGTTTTCTTATGAGCATTATTGGCGACTTGCTTTGCATGGTAATTTATATTTGTCATATTTTCAGGACTGATTAACAGCAATCGAACACTGCTTATTCCTTTTTGCAGATAGAACAGTTAAGTTATCATGGTTCAGAGCACTATTGCCCTTGGAGTTTACTTCGTGTGTTTGGCAACAGCATGGTGGAGGAGTATGTAGAGCTTGAGTCAGCTCCAGAGGATGGTCATGGGCTCGATGTAGACGCCACCCAATCGTCAAATGTCAATGGAAGTCGAAGTAAGCAAAGCGAAGGTATTCTCAAAAGTGCTACTGATGCTGTGCTGAAGTTTGTTACAGAAACGGCAAAGAAGCTTGTACATGCAAAAGAAGAAAGCAACTCGACACATATTTGTACAAATGCATCAAACTATACCAAAGACAATTGCAGTGAACATGTTCAATCAAAAACTATTGTGGAACTTATTCCGCGCGAACGCTACGAATCCAGTTGCCGTGAAAATGATGTGAATAGGAAAATATGTGTTTCTAGTAAAATGTGCTGTTTTTGTGGAAGATCTTGTTATTCTTACTCAAGCTTTTTGGATATATTTTTTAAGATGTCTGTAAGACTGTTCAAAGGACAAAATTGTTATTTTCAAGCTGTAAGAAAAACAAGAATTGGCAATTTCTCGGGGAATGAGCGTTTGCATTTGACTAGTATTAGAAAGTTGAGGAATTTTGTTGATGGAGTCGCAATCTCCAATACAAGTTTGATGAACGCAACTAATGAAACAAGTATTGAAGAAAAAGCAATTAATGTATCTTTGATGTCAAAAGGCGCCGAAATAAATGGCGCGAATGGTGAAAATAAAAAAGAATTAAGGGTGAATAACAGTATCATAAATGATGATGGGACATCCAAAATCGATATTTATTTCGAACGAAGTTTGTCCTCCGATTCGTCTACTATTTTGGATAACTCCCCCTCCACTACGAATATTGCAAAATCTACCATGGCAAATTCTGATATCTATGAGCAAACTGTGTCGTCTGTTACGCCGCTAGCACAACCACCTTTAGCTGAAATAAAGAAACGTCATTCAATAAACGAATTTCCGAAACAGAAATCATCTTCACAATCTTTTCACAAAATAAATCCTAGTAAAACCAATGAATCTGACATAAATCTATTTGAACATTCCATTCCATTTTCTTCATCAAGAGTTGAATATCATGCATCTGTGTCAATTACCCCGCCAGAGGTGCATGCAACTTTGGAGATTAAAAACTCGGTCAAAGTTGGCAAATTTGATGGTAGCGATGTGTTTGATGAAAATGATCAGGCACTAGCATTATCTGTGATCGAGAAAGAGCGAAATGTTGATCATGAAAGGTCGGAAATAATGAGTAACGATGAGGGAGAGGTGCCTAACTCACACGTTGATGTACTTAAGATAACATTGACTGATGCGGAGACGAAGGAAGGGACTGCAGAACCTGAAAGTGTAATTCTTCAAGATGGTGGAAAAGAAAAAGAGAACAACATTGTGGACCTAAAGAAGACGGAAGGGGAAAAACTTGAGGTGAGACCTAGAAACAACTTAATTGCGCTTTACCCGCAATCTAGCGGTTGCATAACATAAACTTGTAGACTTTTTTGCTTTACGAAAAAATTCTTATTTTAAATGCTTCTTGAACGAATTCCTAAAGAATAAATTTTATCAATCTAATTGCCTCTAAGGTATTTGGACAAGTTAATATACCGAAAAATAAGTTGTAGTAATTTATTTTGACGTACTGTTCATCTCTTACTGAATGGAGTTCCTGCCAGTAGATACTTCACTAACATTACATAATACATGAAGTATTGCTTTAGTTTTGAAAAATGGCGAATAATTTGCACTGTGTTCCATGTGGAAACAAACATAATAAACTTTGCTCATCTTGTAGTTTATACACCAACAGCGAAAAAAAATCGCAAGATAAATCTTGCGGCAGTAGTGTTTCCTGCGCATTTGCTCAACAATTAAGTCGATCATATCCTTGGACAAATTATGTAAACGAAAATACTTTAGGTTCGTGTATTATGATTCTTATGATTATACTTATTTCAAATAATTATGCCACGAACATACCTTGTACTAAAGTCAACGAAGAAAAAACCAATAAAGCGAAAAAAGATGAAAATGTAAATATGTCACTGGGAATAATGCAATTTTGTGAACAATCAACACTGAAAATGCCTACGAAACGCTTACTAAACTAAATTGTCAGAAATGATAACATTGACTTTTAAATGTTTTATTTTTCTTCGCATTGTGTTATATCTTTCAATTGGATTTAGGTTAAATTTTCTGTAAGCGAAATTCCTTATCAAGAAAAGAAAACGAGTGGGGCATCCTTTGCCACGGATGAAGAAAAAAGTCCAGTTGGGTCTAGTTTAAGCTATGTAAACGATTATGACCACATGATCCATTCAAAACATTGGAAAATGACTGAGAAAGAAATATCAACTTCCGAACAAGCTACTATCGAAAATGGTCATGGTCACGAAACGAGAGAATCTATATTTGTTATGTTGAGTCGTAAAATTAGAGCATTAGAGCAGAATGTGACAATGACGAATTTGTTCTTGGAAGAGCTTAGCCAAAGGTTTGTCTGTTGAGCATTTGATAAAATTAATTCATTTTGCTCTTGTTATGAAAATTAATATAATTGAATAACTGGCTCTTTGTTCAGGTGGTTCGCAGAATAGATAGTGATGTTTCGTGTTATTTTGTGAATTTATTATAAAAAGGCAAACATGGCTAGTATTTCGTCAGGCTGCAATTTGCGAAACGAGCTTAAACGATTTTAGTACTTCTGAAAGTAATGTGGTATGTCTTTATCTTGAACTTTCTTCTAGTATTGTTGACCGATTGGCTTATCTAATATCAAATAATACTGCCCATAACAACGAATCATAAAATTTGTGCTATATGGCCATTTATTCACTACGTTCTCAAAATGTCCCCAACATGTAACTTTAATACTCCTTGCGCGTAAATGTGCAACTCCCTCATCTCCCCCCTTCTGTGTCTACACAATGTCATTATATGATCCAAAACTGCGCATTTATGAGCATACTCAAATGTTATTAAGTAATGAGAATGGGAATCTACCCTATGTAAAATTGTGAAGTGGTTGAGTAGGAATTTAATAGCCCGACCAAGTTGCTGAAGCATGGAATCTTCAACGACTTATTTTTGAAGTTTTGATTGAATAAATTGAAAAAATTTGGAAAAGATTGGTCCTGCTGAGCCCGTGTACACGAATAAAAATTTTGTAATTTTCTAGACCGAACAATTTTGGCGAACCTAACCATTTGCGTCGATTACCTGTGCTTGCAAATTATTTTTGCCACATATTTTGATTGATTTATTAATTCTGACATTTTTAAGATATCGGAAATCATTGGATGAAATGCAGAAGAAAGTGGAAAAAAGATTGAATGCCTTTTCAAAAGATTACCAATTTCTCACGGAAGTGGTATGAACTAAAAATTCCTTTATTTTGACAGTGTTGTTAGTGCAAATTTACTTTGACTAAATGCAGTATTTTGAATATTGGTGAAAATTAAAACGACTCAATCATGTTTAGTGTAGACTTTCCAGGGGTGGTTAACAATAACGGTCGTAGTTATTTAGCTGTGTAATATCAGTGCTTTACATGTTTGTAAATGTCGATCGTCCAGGTTGGTATAGTCCTGAGAAGGACTGTTTTTGTTGTTGTTGACTGACGTTTCGACAACCCAAGCGGTAGTCATCTTCAGAGTCAAATGAGGAGTAACTGTAATTAATGCCTTCCTAACAGAAGTTTTTACAGTGAATAAAATATTGAATACGAGTGAGGAAATTGTCAATAACTGCATTGCAGTTATTTAATAAAGCGTTAAGTATTCAATTCGAGGGTTTCTCAATAGTTGATATAAGTACTATCGACAAGCAAGTAGACATTAAGTAAATGGTTTGAGCCCGGGAGTATCGTTACATGTTTGTAAATGATGATCGTCCAGGTTAATAAAGTCCTGAGAAGGACTGTTTTTGTTGTTGTTGACTGACGTTTCGACAACCTTAGCGGTAGTCATCTTCAGAGTCAAATGAGGAGTAAACGTCAGGTTAGCCGTATTTGTTATCTGGTTCTTACGTCATTGTATTGTGTGTACAGGAAATGTGTATTGTCATTGTGAATTAGTGTGAAGTGAAATATTCAGTTTTGTTCTTGTTGTTTGATGTAATAGTTGATTCGTCTGTGACAGTCGTTTATCCGTGCTCGTATCAGTCGTCTGCTGGTGGATTTGACAATCTGAATAGCCTCTTGTGTGTTCAACGGGGACTTAATTCTAATTCCTGCCGGAACGAGACCAAAATCCTTGCAGCGGTGGTTGAACCAGAGTTGTTGGCGTATGCGTCTGACGTTGCTTGCACAACGTATGTAATCGTTAACAAGTTGTTCGCTCTGTCGTCCAAATGATCGTAATAAAGTAAATGGTTTGAACTTAGAGTATCCCATGTTTGTAAATGATGATCGTCCAGGTTAATAAAGTGAGAAGGACTGTTTTGTTGTTGTTGACGACGTTTCGACAACCTTAGCGGTAGTCATCTTCAGAGTCAAATGAGGAGTAAACGTCAGGTTAGCCGTATTTGTTTCTGGTTCGTCATTGTATTGTGTGTACAGGAAATGTGTATTGTCATTGTGAATTAGTGTGAAGTGAAATATTCAGTTTGTTCTTGTTGTTTGATGTAATAGTTGATTCGTCTGTGACAGTCGTTTATCCGTGCTCGTATCAGTCGTCTGCTGGTGGATTTGACAATCTGAATAGCCTCTGTGTGTTCAACGGGGACTTAATTCTAATTCCGCCGGAACGAGACCAAAATCCTTGCAGCGGTGGTTGAACCAGAGTTGTTGGCGTATGCGTCTGACGTTGCTTGCACAACGTATGTAATCGTTAGCAAGTTGTTCGCTCTGTCGTCCAAATGATCGTAATAAAGTAACCGGTAGGACTTAGAATTAAGTCCCCGTTGAACACACAAGAGGCTATTCAGATTGTCAAATCCACCAGCAGACGACTGATACGAGCACGGATTAACGACTGTCACAGACGAATCAACTATTACATCAAACAACAAGAACAAAGACTGAATATTTCACTTCACACTAATTCACAATGACAATACACATTTCCTGTACACACAATACAATGATGTAAGAACCAGATAACAAATACGGCTAACCTGACGTTTACTCCTCATTTGACTCTGAAGATGACTACCGCTAAGGTTGTCGAAACGTCAGTCAACAACAACAAAAACAGTCTTTCTCAGGACTTTATTAACATGGACGATCATCATTTATAAACATGTAGCAAGTAGACATTGTTGCACTGTTTGTCCTATTATTTATCTTAACTTTCAAAGCGACTGATATAAACTTACTCTTCATCAAATATCAATGTTTTAGGCAAGGAGGCAGACATATAGTTGAGGCGGAGGTGTTAATATTTACATCAATGTACATGTTGTACTTTATTAGATTTTACTGATTGAAATCATATGTGATAACGGATTATAACCAATGAATATATAACATTGACTTCCCATGTACGTTTGATTAATGCAAGATAAACAAAAAACTTTTCACTATTTACAAATGAGCATAATATTTTTTTCTGTAGAATTCATCCCAAAATTTTACTATCTATACTTTGGCTTCCAAAATCAAATATCTTGAAGAAAAATTGAATAATGTGACGTCGCGTTTGAACGTAATGAATGAAGAGGTCAGTGCAAATTTGTTTATAAGCACTTGGTGTATAGAGTGTGTGTGCGTTTCGCGTAGTCATGTATTACTCTGGGTACCCCTGTACTGGAATTCTAAATTCGCCATTGTTTTTTTTTGTTTTTCTTCGTTGTTGAGATTTGTCAATTCCACAGGTACTTGTGGTGCATAATAAAAATAGGCCAATAACTACAAGGTGAAATAGTTGGAATGTTATTAAACAAAAAGAACGATAGCACAACGCTATATCTAACAACTACAAACAATAACGACCTTATCTAACAACATTTGAGAAATTAACCTTCCACTCCTCTTCCTTGTAAACGAGACAAGTCTTCTCAAAAGCAAAGAACCTTGTACGCTACAAGTCCTGGGATTGTGACCGGTATAGCAGAGTTAAAAGGTGAAAGGTTTATCATAGATTAATCAACTGAATATTCCTGCTCATTTTTATTTGGAAGCATGTTGAACAGTTCATATGGACAAAGCTCGAATTCCATATTAAATATCAGTAAAATAATCCGGTGTTAATGTTAGACAATACATCATTGCCCTTCAGTGAAAGGCATCCCGCTTTCCACTGGAAAAGAATGAATCTAACATCGATGTTAAACATAGATTGTTACAAGCATCCCGCTTGCCGATATGTATAAATGTAATCACAAGGTGAAATAGTTGGAATGTTATTAAACAAAAAGAACGATAACACAACGCTATATCCAACAACTACAAACAATAAAGACCTTATCTAACGACATTTGAGAAATTAACCTCCACTCCTCTGAGCTTTGTCCATATGAACTGTTCAACATGCTTCCAAACAAAAATGAGCAGGAATATTCAGTTTATTAATCTATGATGAATCTTTCACCTTTTAACTCTGCTATAGCGGTCACCAGCCCGGAACTTGTAGCGTATAAGACTCTGCTTTTGAGTAGACTTGTCTCGTTTAAGAAGAGTGGAAGGTTAATTTCTCAAATGTTGTTAGATAAGGTCGTTATTGTTTGTAGGCCAATAACTGTTGAAATTTTGTCAAGTATGACTTAACGAAATATTGTCGGCACTTTGCCATGATATTTAAAAGTTTACGAGTTAGTACAGCAACATAAAGCAATTTGTGCTATGAAAACATGCAATACAATTATACCAACAAACAAATAGTGAGGGCTTGTATTAATCCGTAAAATGAAAAGTTATTAATTTAGGGAAGTAGAAGTTAAATCGTATTCGGCGAAGCGGACGGTCCCTCGAACGGGCCAGCAGTATGCATATTTGAATACATGTATCATATTCCCAAATTTACCACGAACGTTCAATTACTTTGTCAGATCAGCTAATAAACTTAATTGATGTTATGGAGGAACAATACCAGAAATTATCTCAAATTTCTGATGTAAGTAACGAGAGAACTTTTGCACTTGTCACTCCAACTACATTGCCAAGTACAGGGGGGAAGACCTGCTTTCAAAATGAGTAAAACTCAAATTGAGGAACTGAGGAGCACAGGAATGAATTGGAAGTCTGTTGCAAAGTTTCTTTGAGTATCAGATCAAACCCTATACAGACGGAGAGTAGAATTTGGTATTGTTCCAAGCTTTTCCGACATAAGTGATGATGAATTGGATGTACAAATACAGGATGTTTTGCAATTAAGTCCCTATGTTGGTGAATCGTATGTATGGGGTGGCTTAAAGGGTAGAAGTATTCATGTTCAAAGGGCTCGGGTAAGACAAAGACAGATGAAACAACTATTTTAAACTATGAAAGCTATGGGCTGATTATGATGCACTCTTGATGGAATTGAGCAATAATAATGTTGTTGTTCCAGCTACAGAGATTGACCTTAGTGAGGATCAAATTATCTACCTCCAACAAAATGTTGTTCCTTTAGAAGATGATGGAAATAATGGGATTGAACATTATGTAAAAGCAGTTGATATTATCAGATCGTTTCTCAATGCTGACTAAGTCAAGTCAGAGTAGGTCAAAATAAATTACAGAAACTCATTCTAACATTAAAACCCTTTTATAGAAATATTGTTTGTTGGAAATTTCTAAAGAATATTTTAAGGCTGAATTACATCCAATAGGATTAGCTCTGAAGAACGTATTATTCTGACCTACACTGTATCTGTAATGGATTTCAGTATCTTGTACAAATTGTACAACTAATATAAATTGGTTACAAACAAAACAAAACGAAACATGTTCCTGAAAAGTTCAATCATCCAGCTTGCATTAGTATGTTTTCTTACACAATGTCAATGGGCCATGAAATACTTTCTCTCATAACACTTATGAATTCTTCAGCAAGCTCTGAAAAACTTTCGTATTTACAAGGAAGCTCTAGAGAGGGGCCACATGTGCGTGCAACTTCTCGTCTTTGAAAATCATCCAGTGAAGTAAAAATAACTTCGATGGAATCACATGCAATAACATTGCTTCCAGTGACGAAGTTTAAAAATCGTCCAAGTGCTTTCCTTCCTAGAGTTTTAACATATCTCTTAAGAATCCCCATTGCTTGCCTTTAGCATCATTAGATATGTTAGCGCTGAAAAGCTTATTAATCTTCTTGGCTGTGGGTTGCTTTTCCTCGTAGAGCTTTGCAATTGCATCTATTGATTGAAATTATGGATCTTGACCACTTTGAAGAAGCTTTAAAACAGAAGACCAACAGCTTGCAATATACTAAGGTTTCTGTATCAACTCCTATTGAGCTAATTCAAAATAGCTGAATCAATGTTCTCAGTTGTGGGAGTTTTGCGACAACCCCACATTTCTAAGAAATCTAATACATCTTCGTTATTGTGACCAAATTCTGTGCTTAGAAGCTAGTCAAAAACTTTTTGATCGTCTGGTGCAACATAAAGATGGAATGACTTCAGAAGAAATTCTTTATTGATGCTTTCTTCACCAAATAAACATGAGATAGCAAACAACTGTGACAGCTCTATAGGGAAGTAGTTTATTTTTTGAATCCATACACAGCAATTCTGGCTATTGCCTGCCATTCAGGCTTCTGAAGATCGTGCCTGATACGAGGTGTCTTCTCATCCCCACCTGTGCTGACAGCTGTAAAAAATTCTTGCCAAAAATGGGTTAGGACGTTTCGTATTACCCCTTTTCCTTTACCAGGCTCTGGATTGCTATTGGCATTTATGACTACGACATCAAAGGAACAGTTTAGAATGTTTGGATCCATGAACATTTTGATGGCGTCATGACGAATTGTTGATCGATATACCAAAACATTTGTGTTCGACTGTATCTTCCACTAGTATGGGAATTTGAGTATCAGCATCATTCGTGTTTTGAGCTAAAAACAATATATAAGAGAAGGCTCCATATTTTTTCTTAGGGCTTCAATTGGGATCTCAGTGCAATTTGTACCAAATACAGTATACCTTTCTCCAAGATCAAAATATGGAAAATCCAAGTCAGCCAAGTCGTATTTCTTCCAAAAGTAATGCTGTTCATCTTCCACACAGACAGATCAATTTTCAGGTTTTCCCAAACAGTATTTTAAGAGGAGAAATCGTTTGAGAATGTGAAATACTTTTTCAACAACTGGTGCATGCTTCATTTTGAACATTGTGATGTTTAATTTGTTGCTTGTCATCGATGATTATTATCATCACTATCACAGATGTCATGTGTTTCCAGATCCAGCCTGCAATGAGCTGCCTATATGAATCAAAATTTTGTTCGGCAGCTCTCACTTACGGCGATTTGAAGTTTTCGTCTGTAAAATAATAGGGCGAACGTGAAAATATTCAGTTCTTTTGAGTTTAAGTGATGTTATATTTAAGCCTTCGAGTTATGCTAATCCGAGTAGTTTGTCGTTATAAATTTCGTGAAAAGTGGTTAAGGCACCGAAGGAAGTGATTTGTTATACTCCTTTGCCTGTATATAAGGATTAAGAAATTGGCATTACAACAACAAATATTTGAAATGAAACTATAAAATTTTGCTTTTAGATAAGTCGTATTCATTAACTTCTACAGTAACTGAAAGGGCTTTCTTAACCACGGATTTAGATATCGAATAACGCCAAAAAAAAATGGAGGATTTGGTCCTCTGCCGCTGACATTTCCTGAAGTTGACCTTTTTTCATAAATTTTACAATTTTCACTCCCGCTAAAGAAAGACTGATGAAAAATTATCTGTGTATGGTATTTGTGATTCAATTTTAAGATGAAAATCATGAAAAAAACCTTAATTGCCAATAATTGGTTCGTACGAGGGAGGTCTTTTATAACTATCGACGAAGGAACAAGTTTTTGGCCACATATGAAATATTAAATGAAGATGTGTGACGTTATATTACAGTCTGAGGCCCGTCCACAGGAATACGTTTTCATTTTTTGAACTTTTTTTTATGTCATTTCGTACCTTTTTAAAAAAGATTTATGTCTACAAGTACCTTTTTCATAGCGTTTTCGGTCCATCCAAGGAACACGATTGATGATCTTGAAAATGATACTTCTGCTTATGATGCACGCGTGATGTTAAGCTGTCTATTAAATATGCATGACTTTACTCGTGTGCTTGGATCATTTTCAAGTTAATTCAGTTTTATTGCATCAAAATGTCGAGCTGCCTTGACAAAATTGTCAAAAGTAGAGGTGAGGCGAAAGATACATTCATTTGGAGCGATGATGAAATTGAGTTTTTATTAAAGGTTACTCAAGAATATGAATTTACCCAAATATCACAAAATGTAGATTGAGAGTAAGTACAGAGTTACACTCGAATACTTTGGTATTATTTCTGCCCCAATATCATTCAATGGAAAATGCCAGTGGTATTAGGAAACATTTTCCACATACCACTGATGAAGTCACTAAAGCAGCATTAACGTCCAAATTAAAGGCAATCAGTTGAAATTTAGACATGCTATAAACTCTGGCAGAAAAAGAGGACCCATGCGAGTAGTTCTTCTTTATTGCGAATTTTGCATGCAAATATGGGGAGGCTTACCTGCTTACATCAGCTATGTCTTGCGTATGGTGGCCCAGAACTGCCATAGTCCTTTTATTTACATTTAAAATTATTTATACTTTATTTTACTTTATTTTTAATTTGTAATTCTTCTTCTTCATTTAAAATTTTTATTCAAAAATAAAATAAACTCAAAATGAAAAAAAAATAAAATTAATAATCCCAATGGCCCAGAAACGCCATAATCCACAATGCTTTGCGACTTTTTATACTAATTTTATTATTGGATGGAATCAGTGGATTGAATACTATTTGGATTCAATGGATTGGTTTGTATTCAAATTTTAAAATGGACGCCGCCAATTGTGAGAGACACGTGGGAGATGGTGTTCAGAAAAAAAATGAAAGAAAAGCGATGCAAACCAAAACAAACACATCAAGAAATAGCAAGGAACAAGGTAGGCAGATTGATGAACTCATCGTGCAACGTTTGAGCGCTGACGTACGCGGAAAGGCTCAGAAATACAGCAGGGTAGGTCCAATGGAGTTTGTAGTGTTTTCCGGTCTGGAAATTACTACTGACTGAGAATGTTAAAAAAGCCTGCACAGCGCATTTTAGAAGCAGCATTGGAGCTGGTACGGTGTGTGATGTGTTTGCAGGCGACCAGGGGGCATCGTGTAGAACAATGAAGCAAATACCTAACCTTAAACTAATCTACGTGCGTTTCATACAGGAAACAGAAGTAAAAGTATTGGACTTGGACTCCTTTAAGAATGCGGGCACAAGCGCAACTACTTCTTACGATCAAGAAAGACTTGGGTTATCTGATTCATGATCACACACAAAGGGAAAAAGAACGCATAGCTTAAGTTCTTCAAAAGCTATCAGACCTGCATTAGTTCCTGCACCTAGAAGTTTATCAGTTGCAACAATATTACAACTTTGAAAGTTAATGAAGTCTAACACCACTCTTGTTACTTGTATTCTTTTGACATAAATTCTCTTAAGTGGTCGATAATGCCAGTTCTTGTGGAATTTGAAGTAAGTAACAATGCACTTGGAGAGGAGGATTTTCGTAAGGCTTACAAAGCAAGTAGCTCTACGAAATAATTTGCGAATAAGTCTTGGGTCATCAAAAGATACAAAAATGAAGCTCTTGAAATCATTGGGAAAATTAACCAGACAGTGGAAGATCAAGTTAAAAAGGTATGCATGAATAGTACTCTATTATTTAGGGTACATGAATCAAGGTTCTTATGGCTATTGCAGTGTTAGGAAAAGCCATGCTCATCAATAAAGTAATAAATTTATGCTCACAATATATGCTTCACTATTCCATCTCTTTTGCATTATTGCTTCTTTTTATTACTTTATTGTGTTAATCTTAATTCCAGCCAAGCATTACATTTTACATGTGAACAAAGAAATTCCAGCCTTAGCTTTATCATTTCAATGATTTTCTTGCATAGGTTATTCAGATGCATCAACTTGCTCGTAACTTTGCTATGCAGATTGACAAAAAAATAAAAGGTGACCTTCTTAAATATTTTCGCCTCACTATGACGTATAAAAACATATACTTGGGAAAACTACAAGGCTTGGAAATTGTCAGTGCAGAACAGATTTTTAGTGGCGAAATCGAAAAATATGTCAACAATGATTGTCTAACTTGCTGTGAAGTATCAGACCCTTTCACTCAAAAAGCTGGATGTTTGTCTCATTACTCGTAGATCTACTCAAAGAAGCAAGTGATGGTTTTCGATGTCCAAGGTGTGGGATGTAACCTGCTTGATCCTGAAATTGCTTCTTCATTGCTGGTAGACAATAATGAGTTAATGTTTGCTACTGGCAATCTATCCCAGCAAGTCATTGATAATTTTATATCCTCTCACATTTGTAATTTTTATTGCAAGTGCCTAAATTTGGAGCCATTGAAAAATTAGACACCACAAAAACTTATTTCTGAAGATTAGGAACTCAAACATATAATACCCAATTGTTAACCAACAAGTTTACCAGGACCTTTTAATCTTCTCAAACAGCAGCTCTTAGTTCTTCTACACTTAGTGTTCAATCAATTCGTTTAATTTGAAAATATTGGAGCCTACGTTCCAGTAGTAGTCCAACTGTACCAGTCAAAGTCTTCCTCCATATAGTTTAACATTTGAGTGTTTTGAAGACCGTGCTTTACATAAGATTGCAATTGGTCTTTTAATTCCTGGTTTCTTTGCCACGAAACATTTCGTACTCGGCCAGTCTCCATGTTGAATTGAACTCAACAATGAATAATATGACATGCTTGATTGAAAGTCGCAAAACATTGTGGTCTATTGCGGTTCTGGACCATTGTGATTTGTAATTTTATTTTGGTTTTCATTAATATTTTGAAAAAAATATTAAAAATGAAGTAGAAGAATTAAAAAGTAAAAATAAAGTAAAATAAAGTAAAAATAATTTTAAATGTAAATAAAAAAAGTACTATAGCGGCTCTGGGCCACCATACTTGTGTCATTAAAACAGTTGAAGTATTTAAAAATGCTGATAACGAACCTCGACTGCATCGACACTATCTACTTCAGCAACACCGTACATAAACACAACTGATGAAACTGACCTTAAATAAATTTATCGGACACTCAATATCAAGTGGATCAAGATCTATTGGATGAGCCAACTCAAAACAACAAAGTCATTCAGAAACGGGATCAGCTTAACTCAAAATTGAGAGGGTATACAAGCAGGATATACTTAAGCGAAAGTTGCCTAATGATTCACAAATGTTGAGGTTTGACCAAGAAGAGCTGGTTATAAAGAGAAAGTCTTATCAAAAGATTAAGGAAATAGATGGCAAACATTCAAGCAACATGAAGTGATTTATGGGAAACATGGCCTGTCTATCACCGCCCTTACAGGACATAGATATTATAATAAACTAGATAGCGCATTGCAATACAACGCCCAATCAAAAGTTGAAGCCAAATTAGTCGGGTGCCCCAATTGTTATCACTCGATTACTAGGTCCCACTCCAGGAACAAAAGGAAACTTTAATATACGACAGAGCTTTAGTGACGACGTATTTCTGTTATTTTTTGAACTTAAAGCCATGTATAAGCATAGCAGATTTTGTGGAAGTATGATTTTTATGAGTATTTTACTTTTTTTTTCGTGCGGCCTTCCAACATGGCTGTTCTGGCTTTCTGGAAATAGCGGAGTGCGTTTTCCAGTATTTTTTCAGATCAGTGTTACAGACCAGCAAAAGTGTTTTCGAGTCAATCAAAGCACGCTATTTCATTGGAAGGGCTGCTTGCCGTATAACAAAGTAAAATAGAGTATAATTTTATAATCCAACAACTGAATTAAGCATGACGTATATTTGAGTAAATTTTGGCTGCTCAATTGATTATTTGTGTATTCTGATCGGAAGTTATACAGCATTTATGCTCGAGCTGTGTTATCAGGACTATCAGGTCATAATAACAATGAATCTATATAATGCTAAGGCAATTCAAGTTTAAATAACTATCAATCACAAGGATTACAGCTCACAAAGTTAAAAGCGCTGATGGTTTTTTCTTGTTTGTGTACAGTAGCATACAACAGTAGCAAACTTAGGAGTGAAATATATATAAATTTTTTCCGTGTTTTAATTTTTTAACGCTCTTTCCCATTAATTCCCCTTGTTTATCAGTTGAAGTATTCTTTCGTGTAATCGTCGCGATATAAAGTTGAGTGCATTTGACTGTTTATTATTATGTTTTTAAGGTTATGGAGCGTCACTTACTTGTTATTTGTTTTCATCTTTTCATCGTTTTTGTCTTGTGGCTTTTTTTACGATTCATCTGGACAAATTGGTGGCCTTTTGTATTTCGACAATACCCTAAAAGCCCTGTTGTTGTCCTTGGAAGTGATTATACCCAACAAAAAGGTAAGTGAATTCAAATTTTCGAGTTGCTAAAGTAACGTATTGCTATTTATATGATGTTTTAAAGATTTATGAAAGATTTTGTTTAGTCTCTGGTTTTCCGTATATTTAGAATAAATATAGATCCTGGTATAGCTGAGATGAGATCCACTGTGCAAAGGCATTTATGCATTAGAATAACTAGTATTATAACATTTCCTTTAAAAGCATCGACTGATTAGTGGATTGCTAAAAAAACTGTGTTTCTATAACTCTATAATGCACGAGAACTTCAGCCTCGTACGAATCTCGCAGGCTGCAGTGTTTTGCGTGAAATTTTTATGGCGAAAACATAAACAATATGCATTAAAATGAACTTGGGGGAGGGGGTGTTATTGAAGCCCTGATTTTGCAGGTATCCCCAATTCTTTTACAGTTTTTTTTAAAGCAGCAGTTTTTTATTCCTAGATTTTTCCCCCAAAACACATTTTTCACTATTGAAATGTGCTGTAAATTAAGCATTCTAACGGAAAAATGTGGCAAAACGTTACAACTTAAGATGGACGCTCGTAAAAAAACGTATGTTTTTTCTATGTTTTATGAACAGTTCTGAAAAGAACTAGACTTCCATACCACAAAACTATGATTTATCTTAATGAAATACATCTGATTCATTAATTCAAAGGAAATACAGCTTTTTCAAACCTAAAATATTATCATATACCAACAATAGTAAGATGAAAGTGTTTACTCTTTCCAGTCTATTTTCTCATTGAAAGTCTTCAAATACAAACTATCCTTCAAATATAAAATAGTTAAGATCCAGAAAAGTATACTTCCTAAATTATCGCTTTCTACCTATCTGATATGTCAACAAGCAAAGAAAAACAAACTAAGAAAACGAATGCAGATGGTATGCTGCATACCATAGTTTATAGTAAACATAACTTTTATAAAAATGAAAAGAATACATTAACAACATTCATTTACTAGATGCTTTTAAATACAGTCTTGCTATAAAACATCTTTAAAATGACAAAATAACTAAAATTAGTTGGCTTCTCCGGGGCTATTTGTATTATCTAGGGTACTAGGGTAACCCTACTGACCGAGACAAAGTTATGTAGCGTTTACATGAGACATAATTGTAAACTGCACGCGCTTTTCAACTCGTTCCCAGTTCACTTTAAGTTCATCAATATTCGAGATGGATGTCTTTATGTTCCATAACTTTACTTTGCGCATGCGTTATGCAAAACTTGTCCCTGTTGCCAGGGCCAAAGTGTTTATAGGACAAAAAACTTGTTTCGCCGAGTAGGGATACCATCTTTCCTAAATAGGGTGACCCCAGCAGTAGGATTGCCTTCTTCGAAAGAATCGCTCATGTAAACGCTCGCTACTAATCTAATGTGTAAATTTCAGTAACTTAGCCCTCCCAGAGAGTCTCGGGCTGTACGGTAACCCTAGTACCCGAGACCATATAAACGTCCCTTTGCAAACAGAGAGTAAAAACTGTCTCACATGGACCTTGCTCTTCGAACACAAAACCTTGAAAACTGGATTAATGTCGTAGCGAACGCTGTGGCTTAAAATCCTTGGCATTTTTCACTGATTTGGATGAATCAGCCTTGACACATTCTTATAAGTAAACGCATGCTTTCAGGGACATTAGTTATGGAATAAACTATTGTGATTTCTGTTTTTAAATTGGTGCACCCCTGTATGAATTTGCTTTGGAAATACATTAGTATTTAACTATTCAGTTGGTTTCTTGAATCCTTTCTAGCGAACTTTGTCAGATATTTATTTTCTTATTCAGCTGAATTGTACTTCAAGAACGCCCTGTTTTGATTTTTATAATATTATCTTCTTCTAGGAACAAAACGAGACGCTAAACACGAATGTTCAGAAGAGATTTCCAATAAAATTAAGGTACAAATATGCTCAGGATAGCAGATGACACTTATACGGGACTCCATGGTGCATTTAGTTAACTTTATGTTAAATCAACTGCAAATAATTTTAATCTGAAATTTACGTCGGGCTACCCTTGAATGAATTCCTCTTGATGAAATTCTTACAAATCTTAAAAACTTTTCACTCTATCCAGCAAAAAATGGTCTAACTGTAGCTTTATCAGGCATATAATGGATAAAAAAGACTGAACAGTTTGGAAAACATCGCTAAAGACAGCCGTGCGCAATATTTGCAAGAACCTTCGGTGAAAATAGTTAGAGTTGGTCTTTGAATGGTTCATCAGAAAATAAAATTATCGCAAATAATAAACATTTTTAAATTAAAAATTGTGTTACCATGAAACAGTATTGAAATAGTTTCTGCACAAAAATGACCTAGCTAAAAAGCGATTGGAACACATTTGATTAATTCATGGCACATGTTGTTCAAGTTTAAGGTTTGATTTCACAGTCGAAATTTTTGCAACGAAATTGACGAAATCGAAAAAACGGAAGACAATATCGCAGACAATTTTTGCACGACCAATTCCAGGCATTTTTAAAAATTATTTCACGGGTAATTTTCTTCAAAATGGCGCTTGACAAAGAGTAACTGGTAATGCTCTTGATACTTCACAGACGTAGAAAAAAGTGTATGATGAAGTATAGTAGACGATCGTAGGCTATTACTTTTTTTTGGAAAATTTCATTGCTTAATGAAAGAACTTGCACTTCTTGACCTCGAGATGTTTTTTAAAATGTTCTGTATAGTTCCCAGTCAGTTTGAAAAACTCTTAGTTCTAATAACCACGAACAACAAAGCTAACACACGGACAGGAGTTTAATCACCCGCCGAACGAGTTTGCGTAGCCTTACAGTATTTTGTTACGGGAGATGGGTATGCTTCACGAGCTGCAAGCTATCGTTTTGGACACTCAACAGTGAGTCGATTGTACATGAAACTGCACAAGTAATATAGAAATCACTTTTGGAAGATGGGAAGTTACGAGTACGCAACATGTTGATGAACTGGAAGAAAATTGCTGATGTCTTCTTGTCTTGCTGTGTGTGATGGAAATTATAAATCTACCCTCGTGGATATAGGTGAAGCTGGTCAATTAAGTGATGGTGGTGTTTTTGGAAATAGTAACATCAGATAAGTTGTCACAAAGGACAAACTCCCTTTACCAAATCCCAGTGCCCTAGATGGATCAGGAACCCTTTATCCATATGTGTTTGTAGCAAATGATGTATTCGTCTTCATCATAATGTTATTAAACCTTATGCGGGAACAAATTTTAGCTAGATGATTCATAGAAACTACCTTTGGAATATTATCTTCAAGATTTTATGTTTTCCGTCGCTCAGTGCCCACAAGAGTTGTTGCAGTTGAGGCAGTTACCAAGGCATGTGTGGCCCTACACAATTTCCTTATGGTTTGGAGCCAATATGACATAAACTCTTATTGCCTAGCTGAATTTGCTGATTATTAAATGAATGGTCAGCAAGTGAATGACTTCTGGAGAAATATTTTTTAGGGAGACACAAGTCTAATACATGTAAGGAACATTGGTTAAAATAACTACGGCAAACATGCCAAACTAACCAGAGACAAATTTGTACACTTATTTCAGCTCATCATTTGGTGAGGTCCATTGGCAATGGGAAACGTACTCATAAACATATAAAGAAAAAATTGTTGAGCTGTTTATATTATCTCTCCTGTTGCAAATGTTTAGAATTTATCTTTTTTACTAAGTATTGCATTGGTTTTATGCATTGAAAACATAGAATTTATGCATTCAAAGCATTGTTGGTAGTTAATGTATTTCATCCAGTCTTTATAACTTACTTTCTCTTGTAATGATAACATGTAGAAAAAACTTCTTTCCATTCTAAACATGTATTACTTTTTAAAAAATCAATTAGTCAACAACTTGTGCATAAACATTCTTATAACAACTATTAACAATAACCACCTTATATATCCTTTGGCAGTTTCGGACTTTTTGTCTGACTTTTTTTCTGACATTTTTTCTGACATTTTTTTTCTGAGAACTCTACATGAAAAAGCAATTGCTGTATCTTTATTGCGGCCAATTGGTGTGTTACTTTAATTTTTTTGTTTTTAAATGCCATTTTGTTATAATACTCATCAATTATACATAAATATGTGATCAACTTGTTGCAAATATGAGTAATTGGTGAAGATTTTAAAAAATGGCTATAAAAAAGGAAAATTGCCAAATAAACCGCGGTTTCGATGCCTAGCAATCGTGTACGGTTTTGTCAAATTTCCTGAAACTTTGTAAGCTTGAAAACCATGTCCCATGTTTTAACCCTTCGCTTTCCAAGTGCTTTGTAGTTTTGTCATTTTTTTGCGCAAGTTATTTTAAAAAGTGCTTCTCAGTAACACAATTTTTACATTAAATATGGTTATTATGTAAGAAAAATTTATTGTCAGATGAACCATTGGAAGTTCAACGTCCTATTTCATCAAAGGTTTTTCGCATATCTAGCCCTCTGATGACTCATGCGACATTTTCTGAACTGTTTAGTGTTTTTGATACGCTCTGTATAGAAAGCGTTAACCATGAACTGTCTGAAAAAGATGTACCTAGTGCAATCTTTCTTTACTCTAGCATAAAACACGACTCTTGCAATTGGTTTTACCTTAGTGTTGCATACCTAGCTAGTTGCACTTGCTAGGTTTAGCTGTACAGTCAGAGTTGATTTACTTCTTTGTTGCAAAGCTATGGACTTAGTTTGCCCGAAGCCATTTGTTGAAAAAACTGCAATTATGAAATAAATTTGTTCACATGCATGCAACGCAACATTACAAACCTGCTAGATTAAAAACTATCTGTATTTTCTAAATGGCTGTCATTCGCCAATTTCCTGAAATCTTAGATTTTTGTATGATCTTTTGTATGATCTTTTGTATGATTTTTGTATGATATTTTGTATGATCTTTTTGTTTCTCTTATAGTCTTCAACTATTAAAGCAGAATTTACAGAGACGAAACGTCGTAAACGTCGCAAGCACCGTAATGCACCTGTTCTCAAAGAGAATGCCTTCGAAAACTCATCCAGCGTTTATGGTAACATTGTTTCTCCCTCGGCTGGTCTTCTTTTTAATACGCAACCATCCGATGAAGTTTCGTCAACAATCTCATTAGTTCAAGAAACTTTGCGATGCTCTAGCGCCCATAGCTTATGAGTGATGCCCATTTTAATCACCTTTAAATTAAATGCGAAGTATTCATCGTTACCAAATTAATATTAGGGATGATTTCGCGTTTGGAAATAGTGTTTGTACTTGAGTAAAGGAGCAAGTTTTCTCGGAGCACCGTTATCTTGAGCACTGGGAAGGTTCTTGTGATTTAGTTGTTGTAGATAGTACATAGATCCAATAAGAGTGACTGTGGATCAAATTTTGGTAGAAGTAAATTTTTTTTGCCCTGCATGTATACTGGCTTTCTCTTATACTACAACTTCATATTTTTTGATGGATGACACAGTTCTATGCATTCTTTTTGTAAAATTGTTATAGGAAGCTAGTTCATGCAGATAAAACAGTGTAAATACTTCCGCCGTGTTAGTAAAAGGTATAAATAAAATGATATGGAACGGTTTTTGTCCATCATAGAATCGTTAAATAAACCTTTATCGTTTTCTTTCATACCAGTTAGAAATAGTCTTAACCTTGCTTGGCAAAATTAGTTGTGCTGTGCAATTTAGAAAGATAGAAACATTTTGTGACATCACATTTTTGTAAGCAAAAATTTTATGTGAATTTTAAGCTTTATTATAATGATTGATGAAAATTCAAATGAGTAATGCACAGTATAAACCTTTCTGGGAGTAAATGCAAGGTTTTTTTATAACTCTCGCTCAACTCCCGCGTATTTTGATCACCATTAAGCCATTCAAATACGGAATTAAACACTAAGATCGAGTGCTGAAATGACAAGTATCTTGTTTACTTGTGTCACGAATTGTTCCTCGTCTTGCACTTTTTTTGGCATCTGTATACAACATAAGTTTGCGGGATGAAATTTTAAAAACCAGTTAGTGTTGAGAATAATTAATGATTTTTAGATTATTTTAATTAAAGCTAAATAAGTAGTGGTTTAAAAATTAGGGTGGGCTGAAACTTTTTTACAGCAGATGCTTACTGTGCTTTCATAGGCCTATACAAACAAAATCTAGGCAGATAAATTGTTTTTGTTAATTAAAATTACGATTATTCGATGCATCACTTGGGCATAACATCGGAAATAAGGTCGGTAGCGCACGTTGCGATATTTTCATGATATACACAAGAAATAGATACACTCTCTCTCAGTACATTAGGTACAAACGGCTGTTTTGAGTTGTATCCTCACAACGTTGTCTTAAGCATTAGCAAATATATTATGACTTCGTATATTAAACTCTTCCAATGAGGTAGCACTAAAAAAAAAAGTAATTAAAAAGTTAAAAAGTCCATGTAGTTTATACTAGGTCAGAGCTCCACGAAACAGATTTTAATTTTTGTTTCCACGAAACAGATTTAGGCGTTGGGAAATTTAACAAGAAAAAATCTAGTTTTCAGAATTTATATTTTCTATTTATATCGGTAAACAATTAATATATGATTTCCAGGAATAGTAGAAATCTACACACTGTAATTTAGTTGAAATACATTAAAGTGTCACTCTGGCTAAATTTGACCCCTTCTTTTTTTAACCATATCTTATAGAAATCAATGCGCTGAACACGAATCTGAAAACAGAATTTTATTAAATTTTTTCAAACCGATTCTACAGCTCCCCAAATTAGTGATGTTTAGCACTTCGTCTGCGAATTTTTGAGATGAGCCTTGTGACGTCATAAGATGTACACATACTAAACATGGGGTATCTATTTAATAGTGATAAACCATTGATATGTATATTACATGGTCGCGAATTCCCAATGAGGTATTTGCCGGTTGCCAGTCTCCCTTAAATGTGCGCGTTTTTTGGAATGCATTCTGGGAACGCCAGGAGGCAAAGATTGTGTATCTATATAAAGATATCTTTTCGTAAAAAGTTTATAATCAAATTATAATGGGAATAGGGATCACAGTGCTGTTTATGGCTGTGATAACGATAGATGTCCTGAAAAATATATCGTTTCCGATCACGTTGGTATTCTTCGCTTTTTTCTCTTAAAAACGAAAGACAAGAGTGGTTGGCAAAAGCTGATCAACAGGAAAAAACTTCAAAGTCACTACTAATACGAAGGTTTGTTATAATCATTTTCTTGCTGGTTATCGATCCGAAGGCTTTCCCAATCCAACTTTGTATCTGAAAGGATACCAATCAAAAGAAACCAGTAAACGATTACCGCCGAAAGATAGAAGCAAATCAAATATTCCGAAAATAAAAAGACGAAAAATTCTGTGTGAAGGCAGTACTGAAAGACGCTTTGAGCATCAGGATAAGGCATTTTTTGCTGCTGAAATCACTGCTCCTGAGCAGTGTACTGAGCCAGAGTGCACCAGCACAGTTCACAAATAAATTGTACAACAGACTTGGATGTTACAAGTTATGATTCTGATGATAGCTACAGTATTGTGTGAACATGACCTCATTGACTGTTATTGCCAGGGCAATGTCAACACATTTCCTGTTCACACAATACAATGACGTAAGAACCAGATAACGAATACGGCTAACCTGACGTTTAATCCTCAGTTGACTCTGAAGATGACTACTGCTAAGGTTGTCGAAATGTCAGTCAACAACAAAACAGTCCTTCTTAGGACTATACCAACCTGGACGATCTACATTTACAAACATGTAACGATACACCCGGGTTCAAACCATTTACTTTATTATAATTATCACCCCGACGGCAACAATTATGTCGCCTGTTAAATCTGCATAACATCCAAATCTCATTTCCAAGATGGACAGTAAGATATTGAGGCTACCTATCCTACAGTCAATGCAGTATAACGCTGTTTAATCTTTTTCTATCATTATAACATTCAAGATGAGAACCTTACCTTCATGTTGAGAATGTTACCTTCATGAGAACATTATAAATAACCTCCAGCAATCAAAACATCCCCTTTAGTTACAATCATTCTTATTTCAATAGGCGCAACGTCAATGGTTAAAGAAGTTTCGCACTTAAATTCATATTTTCCAACAATTGCAACATCACGACTTTCATTTCTTCCATTTGTTTTATTACTGTAGATATATTTTGTCGAACCTCTTCTACATCTTACCTTGATTCCTACATTTCTTTCGTTACAATAGAAATGTTTTGTCGAACATCTTTTACTTCCCTCCTCGATTATACCATTTCATTCTCACTGCTGAAAGATTTGTTCGTTTTATTAATATCATATTTTCCAATGTCAACTCGATCATGTTAACAATATACATCCTTTTTAATTTTATCTAGAAAGTCATGAGAAGGAATCTTTCTGTAATGATATAAGGAAGTATAATGCTCAATGTTCTCTCGTTTTTTTTAATCTCCTCACTACAACCTTCATTAGAACACAAAACTTAAGCAAAGCCACAACCTTCAAGATCTCAACCTTGTGTTTCAAGATCGTCAACATTTACAAATTTAGGACAACCATGACTGGCGTAGTCCCAATTGGTCTTTATTTATAAAATTAAGTTATTTACAAGATTTGCTGGAAGAAGCGTAGCAACATGCATGAAATCAAAAATCAGGCTAAACTGTAACAATCCTTTTCTTTATGAATACTACTAAGATTCTATTACAATAATCAAACTAATCGCTCCTCATTTCAATGTGGCCATAGTTGATTCGGGAATCACTCTCACCAACTATCATCTCAATGAAATATAGAACTAAGCATAGTACAGACTGGTATAAGCTTTAATTACTGCATTTAGCAATCTGGCAAACTATAGCATGTATAGATGGCGATCCATAATATGTACGTTGCACAATGACACATACAAAATACTGAAACACATTTACAAAAATCTATTGGAGACACATGCAATGGAAATAAATAAAAAGATATAATAATGGATATAATCTATAGACGTTTAGAGCAGATTTTACAAGTGTGTCGACTAAAGAAAATAACTTTTATGTAAAAGTTAGCGCTGTAGCTAAGTCAGGTTATAGTAAGGATGTTTACATGCTGCAAAAGTTCATCGCAGTATCTACAAAAATAAATAAGGAAATGTTAAAAGGATTGTCAGAATAATGTCAGAATAAATGGAGAGAGAAAGAACAGCGTATATTTACAATTTCCACTAGCTTCCAAGTTTGTAAAAAATACATTGTACAACGATGTGTTTGTCAAATTTGAAGCTCGATTGTATAATGACATTTCTACTGTTCTTGTGTCAATAAAATGCGTTATAAAATGATCATGATACAATTGCATATCTGTATTGATATCAAGACTTGTAACTACGATATTCCTTATTACTGTGCGATATAGAGTTAATAGAATAATAGAATAATAGAAATAATCGACGGTGGTGTATTTGTGGCAGTTTTTAAAAATATAATACATGGATCTCGTAAACTTGATCTTGAAGAAGAAAACACGGAGTTTGCTGCTGTTGCATGAGCAAGCAATAAATACTGAAAATCATCCATGCCGTGTACAATCTATCTTTCTTGACTCTCGACTTCTCACAATGGCCTTCTATCTTACAGTTAAAAAGGATTCAAGTCGAAAAGTATAAATCAAGCAATGGATTTGCACATATCCAGTGCTTGGTGACTGTACTAAAACGTGAAATTCAGGCAGTTTCGGAACAAAACAATGGAGGATCGAGCACGTCAATGATGAACTGGACTCAAACCTTGTTTTGAAAAACGCAACCCATCAAATACATTTATGCTGATCTAGAAATTCAAATGGGTAAAATTTTTCCTTATTTGCGCATAGTGATTTCTAGGAATAACGACATCAAGTATTTTGCGCGTTCATAGCTATATATAAACATATAAAGGGTGTATAAAAAACAGAACAGTTTGGACAACATTGCAAAAGACATCAGCTCGCATGATTTGCAAAAACCTTTGGTGGAATTATTTAGTTGGACTTTTAATAATTTATCTGAGTAGAATTTTCGCAAATAATAAAGTTATTTAAAGTGGAAATTTTGTAACCGAGAAGCACTTTTGACAAAGCTTGTGTACGAAATTAACGTGGTTACAAAGCAATTAGAGCAAATATGGCTAAAATATGGCACATGTTGCTCAAGCCATAAGACAGTTTTAGGAAATCTGGCTTATGCGCTGAACACGTAGCTTTCGAATTGCGGATAATTTTAAAATTTTTCGCTTTCAAATCAAATCTTGTTATAATACCATTAACTATGCAACTATGCGTAAATTTAAGCTTAACTTATTTCAAATATGACATTTATAAAAAGGATGAAACGCAAACTAATCCGCAATATAGATGCTTATCATTCGTGGACGCTTCGGCCAAAATTCTCGAATCTACGTTAACCTGAACAACATGTGCAATGTTTCACCCCCATGTGTTCCAGTTGCTTTAAGCTATTTTGAAAGTGCTGCGGTAATACAATTCTTACTGTAAAAAAATGGCCATTATTTGGAAAAATTTTACTGTCAGATGAACTATTGGAAGTCCAACTACCAACTCCACTGGCGACGTTTGGCTAACTTTGGCGACGTTTTTCTACGTGATCAGATTTTTTATACAACGTATATCATATATAGACCTGCTCTGTTTAAAGATATAACAACGCCTTTTTTGTAAAAATAAAAAAGGTTAAATAGAGTAATCATGAACAATCTACAAAACCTCGAGACTCTGTGCTTGTGTTGAACAAGCAGTACTTGTTTTTTCATTACGGAGGGATTGATATGACAGCCTTCCTTTAAACTACGAAGAACGCCTTCCTAAGAAAGAAATAAGATAACAACAACAAGTACAGAACACTTTACAGTTTGGTACATCATGGAAAAAACAAAGAGTTCAAGATCAATAAAGACAGAGAAAAGAAACAATCTAATAGTATAATATCGATAGAGATTTTCTACATTGATTTGTAAAAGAATACTAAAAAAAATCTTGGTTGTTTTTGCATACCAACTTAAAATGAAAAGAAACAACGGGAGGCGTTCTTTAGAAGGACCGTCAACGTTTTCAAACATTATAACACTCACAAACTATAGATATAGATGAGTTTGAAAGACCGTGCTTTCCAAAGAACATGACAGTATGAACAATGCCTTCTGTGGTATTTTGATTCATTCTTACTGATACAAAGATGACACTTTCTGTAGACGAAAATATTTGGTGCACACGAAAATCCTCGAATTTTGCGAGCATGCTCCCTTTCAACTGAAAGAATAGCTAATTAAGATTGTTACTAATTCTTCATCCTCGCATTACAGTGAAATAAATTTTCAATTACATCATAAGTCATGACATGAACAGAATATACTTTTGTTGGTGTAATCTGAAAATCGTTAACATCGAAAGATCTTCAAATAGGTCAATGTAATTATGCATGATACTTTTCATCTACACCCACTGGAATCTGAAGAATGTGACGAAATAGAATTACTTAATAGTGTTATTAGACAGCGCTTCTGTAATCCCGCATTATCCGTGTTTAATTTGAATATAGCACTGATCTATCAACATATTTGATTACATTTTAAGCAATATACTATATGTCTATTGCTTAATTGTTTCTCACAAAGCTGAAGTATTGACCTGCAAGATATGAAATTTATCACCAACCACTAATACAACACTAACCTCCTAACTCAAACAATCTTCCGTTGTCCTTATAAGTTCGAATTATCGAGGTTCTAATGTGTAAAAAGTACACACCTGTATAGTCGATGATGGGTCGTCTAAATGAACCAGCAATCCCTTAAACACTGCCTCGATATGAAGCTTATTCAATTCTTTGTCGTAATCAGAGGGAAATGCTCTATAAATAAAAATAGAAGGATCCCTGGTATGCAGACACGATGTGGAGGTCTTCTAACATCGATGGCGCTGCAAAATATTTGTAACTAGTTTTTGTGTATTTAAGATTCTTGAGTTGACCCTTTGGAATTGTTCAAATAAATGCCAGACACGATGTGTGTTGAAATGTTGCTGTACGACTTTAAGCAAATTCCATAGCAGAATGATGCGAGAAAAGCTAAATAACAACTTTTCTTAAGTTTGCCTCGTGTTAAATTATGGTTCTCTTCTGGCACAATATAGGTGTAATATTGTCGATTTATACCAAAACATCAATTTATTGGCAAAAGAAAGCTTCTGACAGAGGATGATTAATGACAAGCAGTAAGCAATGTTGGTGTTATAACTAAAGCGGGTTCTTTTTCTACAATTTTTCGCGTATCTTTATGTTTACATTTTACACCTTGCCAGGGTACACGCAATTTTATAGTGCAGAAAAGAAGAAATTAATTGGATTTCACCAATTGGATTGCTGGTTAACCAAGTTGATGATATGACCTCATAAAAACAATATAGTTCTATATCATGGTTCCAAAAGGGGCAACTGGACTAAGACGAGACCTCTCTAGATCGTGATATCGAGTTGAAATGTGCGGTGGAATGGTCCATATAAAAGTTGTACATACCTAAAGTATTCCTGAAATGCTTTGGTGACAAAAAGTCGCACTTCGTCACTGCTGTCATCCATTCGTTTTAAGAGTTCTGGATACAACAGATGAAGGCAATCAACTGAAATAGAGAGAAAAATGCAGCATGTGTATATGCAATCTATAGCAAGCAGACTTAAAAGTGACTAATCCAAATACTAGCGATATACACATGTTTGTGGTTGTAGATCGTCCAGGTTAGAAAGTCCCGAGAAGGACTGTAGTTGTTTGTGTTGACTGTGAAATTGACTGTGAAGATGACTACCACTAAGGTTGTCCAAAAGTCAGTCAACACCAACAACAGCCCTTCTCAGGACTATACTAACCTGGACGATCTACATCCACAAACATGCAACGATACTCCAGGGTTCAAACCAATTACTTTACTACTAGCAATATATGTTGTGCTATGATCTAACAGCTTGTTTTCTTGAAGAATGCAAGAATATACTAAGAATAAGATATCTAAATAAGTAATTTTTTGTCATATATTATAGGTGTTCTTCACGCTCAAAATGGAGTAGGGTCAAATGAAGCACCTTATTTTTTCTCCTAGTCAGCTACTCTATCGTTTAATCAATCTCCACCATTAATTTTCTTTTTTTATTAGTTAATACCATACATTTACAATATATCGACTAAAACACGGGTTGTTTGAATTTCAAACAAGAATGGCTTATGTAACTAGGATTGTGTTTGTTATGTTCGTGATACGACCTTTTGCTCGGAGTTTTCTCTCCGGTGTATGAGATATCGTTTGGTTTACTTACCCATTAATCTGCCCGCATAAGATTTGTACTGATTGGCTACCAACAATCTAATGAAGAAAACTATGCATACGCGACTGTGGTGCGCGCAAAAAACTTCAACTTGCATTCTTAATAATAATATAAATTTAAGCAAACATATTACATTCGTTCTGAATCGACAAGTATTAAAGATTTGAAGATTGACATTCGTCGCAATCCATTTTTATTAGAATTTTCCTTTAACGACCGGATTTCTTTTATACTGTCACAACACTGTGTTTTTCCAAATGACTAACCCAATTTTATGAATGCTTTACTCCTAAAAATATTAGGGTTTGACCCCCACCCCTGAATATTCTCTTCGTTGCAACACTGCAAGTTATACAATAGAGTTATTCAGAATCAACGAAAACTCCATTTACCACAAAGACTTTCTCCTTCTATTCAGTGACTTTTTAATGAGAAAACAAATTCATGCACTTTTTAAGGCAAACGCAGATGTACAATGACTTTTCGAGACTGTGCACTCTATAATTATTACGCAGGGAAGTGTTCGCGTACCTTCAAATTGTTCTTTGCAAAGATTCAATAACTTCTCTAACACTTGACACGTCACAGATCTCGTGGTACTACTGTGATCCTCCAAGCAAGGAATAACCTAAAAGAAAAAACTGTCGGAAATCAAAGAATGGTATTACACGTTTTGCATGGTATTGAAAAAAGTATAGAGATATGTAATAAAATAGTGCAATACAACAACAAGACTTTGTAATACTCAAACGAACGAAAAATCATTAAAATTTGTGAAAGTCAATTGGATTAATTGATAAGTTATGAATAAAGGAATTTGAAAGAAATTCAATAATCACTTGACAGGCAGTATAAACATGAGAATGTATTTATTTACACGTTAACTGATTTTACGACATGTGTCAACTTAAAAGTTTCCCTACATTCCCGACGATCGATGGCATTTTAAATGATGTTGAGAGACTGGGGAAGGCTTCTATAATACAGATCTCTAGGTTCCAAACTTACACGGTCAAGTCGAAGTCTAAAGCTGAAATCATAAAGAGCAGAAATCGTGCTATGCTTAAGCCACTAACCTTCTTCTTTACAATCGCGTTCGTTTTGAAATGCGAGACAAAAAGTGCACATACGTTCTAAACTTCCACGTGGAATGTGCGTGAGTAAACTACTTTGGTTTGATTCCGGGCAAAAAGTCTTTTCTTAAAAGTCAACTTTTTTACACACCTGGTATACATATGCAGTTAATTTGAAAGTCTGGTTCATCTTCAAGACCTTTGCTTTGTTTATATTTATATGATAATGATTTGTACATTAGCGATTGTTATGGAGCAAAAATAAATGCAATGAAGCGTAAACAAGCGCACTTGATTTTTCCTTCAAGTTAGTAAATACTCCATATAGTGCTAAGTCGAAACGTGTAATTGAATGGTAAAGACGAGAAAATAATATGGTTCTGCATGTTCTGCATGCAAAATAAGAACTAAATAAAGATCATGCCTTTGGCATGTAGTTTTTTATACCTCAGTTAAAATTTCTTTCAGCGTATTATTGAAAGTTTCCAAAAGAAGAAGATTTGATTGAAGAATTGCCCAGAAAGTAGATATAGCCGCAGTACGAACAGCAATGGCAACCCTAAACGATAAAAACATTTGTTTTGTTGTTACTTAGAAATACCTCTTTCTCCTTCAGTGAAATATAGCTGTACGCAGAGCTGCGGCTTTAACTTACATAGTAAAGTTTTTGGCGCAAGCGCTTGTAAGAAGTCGATGCATGAGCAAGAGACGATAGTCAATTCCTTTCTATATATTTATGACATCAAATCCCACAAGCTACTTATATTTGTTAATATAATATAGTTCATAATATGAAGCATACTCCGAAGAAAAGACTCGTGTTTAACTCAATATTTGAGAAATAAACACGAAAATTTTCAAACAAAATTTCTCGTTTCTTTTATTCGGAGTATGCTTCATATTATATTACTTAAAATTGCCGGCTGGTAATCGATAGTATATTTAATGTCACATGTCATATATATTATATATTACACATAATGCATGCATGAGCAAATATCCATGTCACCAAAATATGGTAACATATTTTAGTATTTTTGTGTTCTGGGATGAATTTGACGATAGTAGCGGTATCAAGAGGAGTCATGTTCACGTTGTTTATTGCATGACTTCGTACTTAAAATCGTTTTCGTTTTTTCAAAACGTAAGAATTTAATCAAAGGGGCTGTTCACGTGCGCGCGGTAGCCGGATTTCAGCGAAATCATTTTGGCAAATGGAAAAGATTAAATACTTCACAACAAAAAACTTATTTGAGCAATTCACTATGCTTTGACTTAGCAAATTCACAAAACCTTTAAAATGAAACAAATAATTTAGCCTGATTTGAAAATTACAATTAAAATGACTAATGACGCATAAGAAAAGGTTGTAAGTTTTGCGCTTAAAGTTTTCACTCCTTTCAATGACTTAAATTCATTTTACGCCTCGCTGAATCCCGGTTACCAGGCTCGCGTGAACAGCCCCTAAGTTGATGCTTTTCCTCCGGCAAAGTTTGCTTATTTAAAAGTGACATGAAGGAATTGCTTTCGACATCAATTTTGGCAAAAGTATTCGAAATTAATCTTCTGTAAAAGTTGTAGAGTCTTCAACCTTTTTTTTTATCTGCTGTATTTTGAGATTGGATTTTTGATTAAAGATTCAGGACTGTCCGATTTGTGATGGCCAAATAATCTTTATATACATGTTGTGTGATACATTTCATATGTTTAATCGAGCCATCAAAAGCCATTTTTCCCGTCGCATCGACGACTCCCATGCAGCCATCTATACTTCTATACATCTATATTAAACGATTCCACCAATTTCTCACAAAAACAACATTCACAGGTACACTACTTTTGGACTTGGATTTCTTCCTCGTACCGTAGCCAAAGAATAGATTAGGTAAAAGCCCATCAATGTCGGCTTCCTCTTCGTGATGCTCTCAATGTCTTTCTTATGAATAGTGAGCTAAGAACTCATAATTATACGGCTCATACTGCTCATAAATCATTGAGCCTCAATCGACTCGCTTTTTGAGTACTCGGAGCCAAGAACGTAGCTACTGCCATTCGAGGAGCTGGAAATTTTTTTTGTGATTTTATTACAAGTGCTTAGAATTGCTTATAGCTTCAAAAGCTATAGAGTCAAAAAATTTACGTTACGTATATTGTAAAATCGCCACTATCTGCCCCAGTCTTCAGGTAAAAAAATAGATTTTTTGTCAATTAAAAAGCAAGAAAAAACTTTTACAAAAGAACAAAAATTTTGCAAAAGTTTTTTTACCATTTGAAAACCACTTCAACAGCAAATATTGAAAAATAAAAATCACTTAATGTCACCTTAAAATAAACTAACTAACATGTTCTGTTATGAATAATTTGTCAGTATTAAAATTTAATCTTAAATTGAAGAAAACATTTAATTCAATATGTACCTTCCAGCACGCCATAACAAATTTGGAACAATGCAATCAATCAACATCGTCCCACAATGCTGCGGAAATTCCCCGTTTGAGTTGACTGAACGATTAGAATCCATGGATAGTTTCGAGAGCAGGGAGAAAAACCTGTTAAAAGCAAATTACAGTACATTGTATCGCAGTATAGTCAAAAATTTATTTAAAAATATTCAATACGCTTTTCATGCACAAATATTCGGACTTATATATTAGATGTGCTACAATTTTGACGTTTCAATTCTAGACCTTTCCAGTGCAATCGCAGTGAACTCAATATTTAAATAACTGGAATGATTACTGAAGCCAAAAATTGAAGCCAAAAAAATATTTGTCGTCATCACTCGTGTTTCTCGCGTGTTTAAAAAGAATTTGTATTTTTTCGGATCTTTAGTTTGATCTCAGTTGATTTCATTTTACTAGTCAGTTTTATCTTCACGAAGAAAATCTTTTGAAGTATATTTATTTCAATTCTACATCATCCTCAGTGCAAAAGTATTATTACGTTTTTCAAATAAACTAAAGGATTTGTTGTTATGAATTTTTATTCGACAAAATTTACATATAGAATGAAAACATCTTTAATATAGCTACTATATATTTTTGTCATGCACACTCGATCTTCTCTTAAGCTGAGGTTTTCCTTTAAAACATATCAGAGTCTTCAAGGATATTCAATTATTGACATCGAGATGACAAGAATTTAGTATTTCAAGCACTATCAAAATCGATGAGAATGAAAATCGCTCTGTAAAAAGTAAAAATGCGAATTATAGACTCAATATTTTTTATGAAACTGGATATTCAAGTTTTTTTTTCTTCGGAAAAACATATCTTTAAATCCACTGAAATGACAAAAAAAGACAAACACTGTTTGACACCGTTTGAAAATTTACCTTCCAATGTAAGAAAAATTTTTGCTTGAATATTTTCTCGTCATATTTTCTATTGTATTGTCTTTTTAGCATACAGTGTAATTTTTAGTTGACAAGCTGTAAGTTACAACGAACTCACTGTAGTAAAGTTTCAGCTGTAAAAAATAACCTTTTGCGAAGAGTTGGACTCGTGATGTTGTTTATATGATTATGCTTTTGCCATTTGTATTCAAATTTATATTGGCCGTGTATGTTTGGCACTCAGGGGAATGAAACTGACATACAAACCGCGTGAATGTTCGACTTTGTAGGACTGGAACTGACGTACAAACCGCGCAAGAGACTAGGACTTAAGCTTCAATTTTATATCTATAAAATGTATTGTCGTTATCATTTTAGAATTATATATATGGAGTTCGCTGTGCAATCGTATTAAATCTTATGACGTTACACTACTTTCTTGATGTTGCGCAATTTAGATTTCATAATGAAGAGAAATAATCCTAATTAAAAACATTGTAAAAATAGCCTTTCGTGCATAGAATGTAGGTGTAGTTTCCTAATTATTAGTACATAATTTCTTCATAATTTCGCTTTTTTTTATCTTAAGTCACATTTGGCACAAAAACTAATTTCCTACGCACGAAACCATTAGTATAAATAGAAGTAAAATTAGAGACTAAAGAGTAGAGTTTTTATTCGATAAGTTGTTGAGATTGCTGAGATTATTGTGAATAGGTCATAATTCTTTCTTAATAAAAATTCCATAACTAAGAATGAGAGTGCAGATCAATTTGTTGGACGAACTCAACGAAATCTGCGTGACATAAAGAATAAATATCTTGAAAGATCGTCAATATGCGTTTCAAAAACGTTAGAAAACTTTCAGCATGTAATGAAATGACAAACAAATCAAAACTTACATAGTCACCCCTCTCTCGTCCGCAGAAGTTTTCAACAAAAGATTTTAGAAGGAAAAAGGTAAACGCGAATGACAAAAAGAAGGCGGAAAAAAGCAAAGAAAACCTTTGCCAGATTTGGGCCGCAAGATGGCGTAAAGCCATTAATAAAATAAATACTTAGTCAATATAACTTATGAGTTTAAAGGCTTACAAATATACATAACAAAACCCTACAAAATCAAAGCACACAAAGTGAGACAAACTAACAATCGATCGACATGTTTCTAATAGATAATAAAATATCAGTATCTGAGCTAGGGTCTGCATGTAATCTACACAGAAAGGGTCTGACCTTTCCATCGTAAACTTGCAATTGCCCCAAATGACATAAAAGTATAAAAATAAGTACGCAATGCGTACATGTGGGTAGCCTGCCAAGTATATTATTACTAAATGAAGTAGATGATATGAGCCTTATTCAAATAAAACTATATATTTAATATTATTACGTCAAACTTGTTTAAAATTTGAAAATGTTCTTTAGTTATATGACCAATTAATTGCTTAACCCTTTCTGCATTTTTCGAACGCTCAAGCTTAGATTGCATGTCACGTGACTGTGCTGAAACCTCGTATCAAGGAAAGTAACGTCATTTAGATTTCTCGTGACTTTTAAAAGTTTTTTTTTACCGAAAAGCATTTTTGCTATAATTGTGTTTCAAAAAAGTTTTCTGACGTGTCTAAGATATCGTTCAGAGAACGTCATGCCCATAAACGATAAATCAACACAGCACGCTTATGACTTGTATTAGATCACATTTGAAAGTAAAGGCTTTGCGTTGCGCATTGCAAATGATCGCAAATCTTTTGTATTTCCTGTTCATAGTTTGACACGTATCATATTTCACTTGATGTAAAATTGTAAATCTATAGAAATATTATTTGTATTTTGTATAATATTCGAAAGCAAAATAAATTAATTCAGCGTTTGACTTCACCAACTGTGTACATTGAGTCCGTCTGTATGAGTAAAGCGAACTATGTATAAGCAATGTAAATAATACCGAATTGGAGTATATATATACCAGACAGTACATCCTACCACAGTATAGAGAACATACAGTAGAGCCACTCAATTTATTTTTTTTTTGTGCCACGCATGTCTCATTGCGCATGTCATTACCATAGTGGCAGCCAGTCAATTGTAATTTCTGACCAATAGGAATGATGAAATGGCTTACGGTAGCCAGTAATCTTATTAAATATACAGAAGCCAGTTGCACAGCGAAGTGGCCCTACTGCATATTCCTTATACTGTGATCCTACTAAGTACAAGTTGCTAATACCAGTCGCTGGAAAGAGATATAATTGTTATATGTGGTCGCTTGTGACCAGGCATATGAATAAAATCTTGACTTTTATTCATTATTCTTTTATGAAGTTTTGTGACAAAAAATGTTTGTTTTTACATCCCATAATTTCGAGGTCATGTTTAGTTCGGCTTGAATAGATGACAACAGGTAATTCTTGACTTGCAACCATTCTCTTGATATTTACCAAACAATGTTGCTCGCCCACGTCGACTGGTGTCAACAATAACACTGATAATACATTCTTTTGTATGAATAACCCCAGCATGGCTGAATTGCAAGTAAAGAATATCGTACAACTATACAAGTCAACTTTTGGACCGTGATGATTTTAGTTAATATTTCTCAAAATAACAATATTTTTCTTACAGCGTTTGATTAAATTCACCAACAGAGTACTGTAAGTCCTTACGAGTAAAGCGAAAAATGTACAACCCTTACGAAAATTTCACATTTGATTTTATATATGAAATGGGAATTTCATATATGATATAAACATGTCATATATGAAGTGTTTCAATTTCAAATAAGGTTCACATATCATCTCTTTTATGAAACAGACACAATTTATACATGAAGTGTTTAAATTTCACATTAGTGTCACATAGCCGTAATTTCGTAGGAGCACAATGGTTATAAGACATTTAAAATAAACGACAAATTTTTTTAGAGCAAACATGTTTAAGCATACTTTACGCCATCTTCAGTGCGAAGTGAATAAATACAGGAAGTTTACATGATAATAAGTTATAGTGATAAAGCGGAAATATCGACTAGTTATGAATAATTATTTACAGTTGAATGAGGTGTTATAAAATGTTTGTGTTAGGTTTTATCAGAAAAACAAAAAAATTACAAAGAAAATGAAAATATATGATAAGGTAGGAATAGCTATTTACAGGTCAAAGATAGTGTTAAGATGTTGTATTTGTTTGTTGAGGTTGGGTTTACGCTTCTTGATATAAAGGGCTTCTTTGACTTTAAGGGCGAAAGGAGTGTGAGCGGTGTCTAAGATACGGAAGCAGGGTTGTGTATTATTGTTTTTGCAGTGTGGTGACGAGAGTAAGTTCTGAATATGTGTGAGTTTTTTTTATTTAAAAGATGAAAAAACTTGTTTCATGTCTAAGCAAGTCTGTGCAGTAGCGTTTTATTAAGTTGTGTAATTTCCGTTCCGTGATTTGTGAAATGTAGCCTATGTAGGGTAGTTTGAAGAAGTCTAGAGTTGGTGGTTAGGTGTGGGTTCGTTTCTGGTGTTTATTTTGTTTGTGTTTTTGTCATGGTCATATGATTTAATGATTTTTTCTATGAAAGGCGAGGGAAAGGAGTTTCGTTTGAGATTGTCGATGAGAGCGTATAAATCATGATAGCAGCCAGTCGACGTGTTGTTAATTTTCCGTATGCGGTCTATAAGAGTTTTAATCAGTCTTGTCTTATACTTTTGTAAGGTGAAGCTAAAAAAGTTAAGTAATAGGCTAGTGTAATTTTTTTTTATGAAAATTAGATGCCGTGTATGTGTTCGTGGCTGTGTTTTTACAAATGAGTATGTCTAAAAAAGGTAACTTGTTGTCGTGTTCTTTTTCTATGGTAAAGTCAATGTTCTTGTGTTGTAAATTTAAATAATTAAAAAAAGAGAGAGCGTCATCCACGTTGTTAAAAATACAAAATATGTCATCTACGTAGCGTCTGTAAAACAATACTTTAGGTCCGTCATAGTTCTTGATCCAACTCTTTTCATGATATCCCATGAAAAGATTGGCAAAAAGTGGTGCTAATGGTGAGCCCATCGCGACTTCGTCGATTTGGTCAAAAAATTGTCCGTTAAATGGGAAATGAGTTTGTGAGGTGGCAATGAAAAAATGTTGTTTTAAATCTTGTTTTTTAATTATAAGGTTGGGATGGTGTGAATAAGTAAGATCGAATGCAATGTCTATGGTTTCAGATAAGGGGATCTTAGTGAAAAGACTTCGGACGTCAAAAGAAAAGAAGTAGTTGTTGTTGTGGTATTGGGTGTGTAGTTCGTTAACAAAAGTAAAAGAGTCTGATAAAGTGTAATCGTTGGGTATGACAGGGTTAAGTAGAGTGCATAAGAACTTGGAGAGATTAAAGTTATATGAGTTGGTGGAAGAGACTATAGGTCGAATGCGAGGGGCATTATAGTTTTCTCTATGTTTATGAAGTTTGGGGAGACCATAAAAGCGAGCTGGTTGTCAGCCTCTAGGGAAAACTGAAGAGTATATATGGTTGTCTATGGAGCCCCTTTTTTTTGAGATTTCTGAGAAAGCGTTGTAGTCTGCCTTCTCTGTCTAGTTTCACATATGATTTCATATATAAAATCATATGTGAAATTTTCGTAAGAGAAGCCATGTAAATAATACTGAATTCGACCATAAACCAGACAATACATCCAACTAAGTACAAATTCCAAGTACTGGTCGCTGGAACGAGATATAATTGATATTTGTTATCGCTTGGCGTTTGCTAGCCTGCATTTGAATAATATCTTGACTTTTATTTATTAGTTTTTTTATGAAGTTTTGTGAAGAGTAAATTGTTCCTTTGTACATCCCATTAATCAAGCTCATGTTTAGTTTCGCTTGAATAGACGACAACAAGCAATATCGTACAACTATACAAGTCAATTTTTGGGCCATGATGTTTTTAGTTTATATTTCTCAAAATAACATTTTTCTTAGGATTATGCCACAGACGATTCTGTGCTTGCTGCACATAACTTCTGCTTTATTTTTGTACGCGGTCAAACGCTTCACAGTTCACGCATAGGAAATGTATTATTACATTCATACTATATGTGTATGCGCTTGGATTCATTCTTATAGTCTTTATGTCCAATGAAAAACAACTCACGATATTTTTCCGACAAACCAACGAACGCACAAAATGGTATTGTTCGCCACCGTTCGAATATCCGACTATCACCGAGGATAACGACGGACAGACAAAAATGACAATGCAAACGAAAGGGGAAAAAATTATAATCGCAGAATCAACCGAATGCAAGAAATGGCCGAGTTGTTACGGATATCGCACGAAATCTGCCTTCGCTTTGGTCCCTAGCGTTCAGGTTTTTCCTTTTGAAACTTTTTTTCTTGAAAACGTCTGCGGAGAAGACGTATGCATGAGTGATCGATTAAATAAAATACCAAAACTTAAAAGTAAATACTTAAATTGAATAATAAAAAGAGTTTTGTGAGAATGGAGTAAATGGTAAAATGCATCCAAATTAGATGCATGGCGCGGGGATCATGGCACATAGTCTTCATAAACTTTTCGAAAATTTTGATACAATTTACGCAGTTAAAAATAAGACTTTGCAAACCTCTCTTCTGCTTTCATAGGTTCATTTTTCTGGTTGCTTTTATGGTATGATAAACCAAAAAATGCTAAAATACTTACGACAAACATTTTCAAGATATTTTGATATATTAATAGTTTTCCGCAAATTTTAAAAGTTTCTTTTGTACGCCTGGGTGTACTATCATACTTCAGCTCCATCCTTATTTTTAACTCTCAGTAGGATCATTACTCAACCAATCAACCAATCAGTAATTCAACAAATCAATCAATCAACCAGTCGGTAAGTCAGTCGGTTAGACGGTGCGTCCGTATATCAAATCTATTTGCACAATTTTTATCTAAGACCATGATGCGTAAATAAATGTATTGATAGCAGCATTGTTGTAAAACTTACTTCAATCTCAGTTCAGGATCTTTATCCGGATGCAGACAAACTTTAAACACGGGAATAATGTCGGCGAGCAGAGTTCCTACCACAGCACCAGCATTCAACATGAGAGTATTAAACAGTAACGCAGATGAAGAATGACTTGTCCATGACGTATGGCTGTCCTATTACGTTTAAACTTGTTACATACAACATGTTGCTCAAACAAATTTGAGATTACTAAGTAAATATACAATCTACCTTCAACAATTCTAGCACATCTTCTGTATGTAGCTTGTATATGTCGTCTTTACTTGGAAGTTGTAGGGTAAAAGCCAATCTCACCATGCATCTTTCAATCTACAAAATTAGAAAAAGCTTCGCTCTTTAGCATAAAACAGTTCAAAAAATAACTGACTAATAAAATTAGCGAAATTTATTCATCTAAGCAGAATAGAAGAAAAGCGTTATAAATCTGCTAAAAACATATGGCAACTTCTTTTTTTAACATATGAAAAAACTACTTTTGTAGCTCCAAATTTTAGACAGTTATCATATCATATGAAATGAAACAATTAATGTTTTATAATGTGACATCTTTTAGTTGAATACTTTTATGACGGACGAATAAATGTTATTATGACATGTCGTTTCGACAACAGCATCAACTGTTAAAAAGATTGGACAGAGTCAACAAAACTTTATGGGAATCAAGTTTCATAAAAAATTGAAATGTACTACAAACGCTCAGGTATCTGATGTGCTGAGAAGTCCGTGTTGTAAGCGTGTGGTTCGATGAGTAGAAAAGCTTCACTAAAACTCCACATTTTCCACTCTATGGACGCTTATGCATTTTATGAAGGGAAATGCTGAGTCTGTATAGTGCTTGTCTTTGGAAAGGAGAGTCTCCGCACTCCAACACCGCACTCGGCATTTTCCACCATGAATTTTTTCGCTGATTGCAGACCTCCAGTGCAACATTCTTAAGAGGCCATGCTTTCGACTTAATAAATGAAACACGTTTATTTAAAACGTTGCTAAATTGATCAGCGCGCAAAGCTTGTAAAAAATTTTGGAGAAAATTGATATTGAACCTTCCAATAGTTTATCTTTGGTATAAATAACAATTTATGGAGTGAGAATTTTGTCGCCGAAGAGCTGTTTAAAATAGCGTGCAAGACATATAAGATAAAAAACGCAATGTAAATATATAAGGTTAAAATATATGGCACATAATTTTTAAGCAAATAAGGTTTCAGTCATTTTGCATAAAGTACGCAATTTATTTCGGGTTTCTCATTTTCAATAGCATCTTCCTAAAAGCTCAATAATAATGCACAAATTCGAACTCGCAAAACATTTACACGAATGCAAACAAAAATAATTGGTGTCATTCTGAAAATTCTTGATATATACAAAATGTAAACTGTTGGATAAACAATTGAAGACCAAATATAGCTATCAGCATAAAACGCTTTGCCAAACCTTGCTCGCTGATCAATTGTCTGCTTTTCATATACAACCCGTATTTGGTGTATGTAATAAGCACTTGTTACCGAGCGCAAAGTCTTCACAGAAAAATATCGGCCTGGGTCTGTATGAAAAAAACAAAGGTCGATATTATATAGCACAAATTACTAGCTTCATGCTCAATATCTTTCTTCGTTTCGTGTTGTGGCGAAAGAAAAACTACACCGAACCATTCGACTAGGCAAACTGTCAAAGCAAAGACAAGGGCAAAAGTTCTATACGAAATGTTTTCGAACAAAATTCCAATGTTTAGTTTGCCTTTGATAATCTATTTCTTTTTGAGAAACATATGTTCAAAAACACTTTTGTTATCCCCAGAAATGGCAAAGTCAATTAGCTAAGTTACATTCGCCAGTATCAGGTTCTTTCTTCATTATAGGAAGATTTCACAATAAATTCAAAGCGCCACGATAGAAGTTAGTTTTACTTATACTGTCATAAGTTTGTAAAATTACTAAAACTTTGAACAAGAAGTGTACAAACTCTCAACTTTGCAAAGTCATAACTTTGCATATAGAAACACCCAATTTCTCTGAAATTGGAAATAAAACGAGGACGGCTAATTTTTACTTCAAGAAAAAATTGAAGGGATTGAAATTAGATGCATAACTATGCACTTTAAGAAATTCGTTAATTTTTGGACCTTATTTAAGTCACTTTCACATTGGACAGGCAATCTGCTTTTGCAAAAAGAATTCCCAAAACATGTAATAGCTACATCTTACCTCTGCATCAAACCTTTTTTCTCGCTGCAACGACATGACATGGAGAAGAACAAAAAAAAGCTGTAGACTATAGAAGGAGCATTCACTTGAAGCTTTTGAAGTGATCACGTGCACTAACTTCAGTAGCTGTTCTTGAACATTCACACATTCGCTATGACAGACATCCTCACAAACTATAGCATCGCATATTTCCTGAATCAAATTAGTACAAAAAACGTCAAGACATTTTATAATGAAAGTGTCCTTTATTTTTTAACAATTTGCTCACGTAGGAAATTAAGAAAAACACTCTTACCACGCAGTTAAAATTACCTTAATGTAGTCAGCTTAAATGGTATCTCATGCATTTAAGTTACGAAAATATTGTTGTAGCACACATTGAAAAAAGCATTAGTATCTAAGACATGCTATTTCATTAAAGTCTTAAATTTTCGCCCAACTCGCGTAACTATATTTTTTCGGAAGAATAAAATCACACACGCACCTAAGCAGATGACTCCTCAATCATGCATAAAAAAACGTCACACAAACCTTTATATGATGTCTAATCTTATCATCTGGGGCTCCTTCAATCATGGCCGCAAGTATTTGCAAGACACATGCGATCTGCTGTTCTGTTGAAGTGCTGGCGGATTTAAGTTGTTGAAGACATAATTTAGTATATACTTTGGGTTCCACGTATCTTCCGATCAGTTCTGCACATAAAAAAACCTAAATAACAGATAATCATTCTCTTGCTTGACAAACTCATATAAGTTTTAAACTGCTGGAAAAATTCGGTCCTAAAATGTTCATTGCATATGTATGTTGCAAAATTGTCGTCCTCATAGCCTAAAATAGTGAGGCAAAACCGATTAAGTTCCCCCAACTCTCTCCTCTCTTTGGCAGCACAAATAAACAAGATGTAACTGATAGTAGTTGGTGTTAAAAAAGGAAATGACATCACAGTGTATAACTCTCAACTTAATTGTTAATCATGTGACCTATGTACTTGTTGTTCTGCCTTATAAAAGAGAGCACATGTTATGTTAAAATATATTGTCAATCGTTATGTTGTTAAACTCCTTTATGATTCTATCTGATGTTCGGTAAAACCTCTAAATCTAACAGGTTATGGGCCCAGAATGCTATGGTCTACATGTGAATCGAACAAGTCGACGATTTTATAAAATATTTCTATAAGTATTTTGCGGTCGAATATAAAATGAATATGGCTGAATTGAATTCGTTCAAATTTGCGAAGTTAAATGGGTCGAACTATCGGACCTGGTCTTTTAACATGCGTTTATACTTAGAAAGCCTTGATCTGTTTGAACATGCTGAGGGTACTGCTCAACTTACGTCGGAAAGTCCCGAGTTCGTCAGAGTTTTGCGCGTAATGCGAAGAAGGCATGGACTCACATCTGTCTGGCTATCGAACCAGAATATCAAATTCATGTACGCCATACCACAACTGCAAAAGAAGCATGGGACGCTCTAAAGAAGCAATTTGCTAGAGAATCTCTGTTACAGAAAGTGAGATTGAGACAACAATACTACGCTTGCCGTTATCGTTCAGGAGAAAGCATGTTGGAGCATATTAGTCACTTAAGAACATTGCATGACCAGCTAAAAGAAATGGGGGTAGAAGTAGATGACAAAGAACTGGCAATGACACTCTTAGCGAGTTTGCCTGAAGAGTTCAAACCCTTGATTACAGCCCTGGATGCAATAGGTGATGACTCCTTATCTTACGACAAAGTGAAAAACATGTTGTTAAATGATGTTGATCGACGACAAGACGGAAAGGATCCTGAAGGAGCATTTGCTGCTGGAAGAAATATGAGAAAAGGAAAGCAACAATATGTATTTAAAGGAAGTGTCACAACTGTCATGAAAGAGGGCATTTTGCTCGTGACTGTCCAAAGAAAAAGGTCCTCGACGACAAGAACAAGAAAAGTAATGAAAGAAAGAAAGGTGAATCTGCTAGCTGTGTAGAGAAAGAGGATGATGATAATATGGTGGAAGATGAAGCATTGTATACCTCAAGTTCATGGAATAATAACTGCTGGATTATCGACTCAGGTGCCACACAGCACATGACCTATAATAAGAGCAATTTGATTGAATATGTTCAATTTTCAAATCCATCAATTGTTAATCTTGGAGATAATAGAAGTATTCTTGCATATGGTAAAGGGGTTTGCCGTATTATTGCTGATGCAAATGAAAGACCTCAGAAGATAAGTTTGCGAGATGTGTTGTATGTACCAGATCTTGGTAGGAATTTGCTTTCTGTAAGAGCCATGATAAAGCTTGGAGCATGTGTTACTTTCAGAGATGATCAATGTGAAATCTTTAGAGGTACAAAGTTGTTGGCAAGTGGTATAATGCTGGAAAAACTGTATGTATTGAAAATCATTGAAGGTAACTATGTGAATGTTGCAATAGATGATAAATTAATGTTATGGCATTATCGTTTTGGTCACCTTGGAATGAACAATGTTTCAAAACTGCTGAATGATGATATGGTTATTGGCATGGATACTACGCCTAAGGAAGGATCTCCATGTGAGGGATGCATTATGGGTAAGCATCATAAATCCAAGTATCCCAAAAAAGAAGCAAAGCGTGCAACTAAACCGTTTGAATTGGTGCACAGTGACGTTTGTGGACCAATGTCAACAAATTCACTTGGTGGTTCAAAGTATTTTGTTCTTTTTATTGATGATTTTTCAAGGTATACTTATGTTTATTTCATTAAGAACAAACATGAAGTATTGGAGAAGTTTAAAATATTTAATGCAATGGTTTTGAACATCACTGGTTGTTCAGTTAAAGTTTTACGGACAGACAATGGTGGGGAATATTGTTCCAAAGAATTTAAAGAATTTCTTAAGCAGAAAGGAATTGCACATCAACTTACTGTGCCGTATAATCCTGCACAGAATGGTGTATCGGAACGAATGAATCGCACACTTGTAGAATCAGCCAGATCAATGTTATCACACAGTAATATGCCGTTACATTTTTGGGCAGAAGCAGTGAATACAGCTGTCTATCTGAGAAATCGAAGTCCGACAGTATCACTTAATGGAGTTACACCGTTTGAATGCTTGTTCAATAAAAAACCAAATGTTTCTAATCTGAGAGTATTTGGATGCCTAGTTTACGCTCACGTGCCTGCAAGTCAACGAAAGAAATTTTCAGAGAAATCAAAGAAGTGTATCTTCATCGGATATCCTGAAGGGACGAAAGGCTACAGATTATTTGATGTACTCAGTCAAAAGTTTTTTCGAAGTAGGGATGCTGTCTTTCATGAGAAAAGATTTTACGACTTGAAAGGTAATGAAAACAAACAGTTCGGTAACTTTTACACTCCACTAGAAGAAAAGATTGATGAACCACATGAAATACCAATGGAAGAATTTGCTCAAGAAGAAAATAACGAAATTGAAAACCCAGTTGAAGCAGATCAGCACCTTCAACCAGTGGGAGCGACATATGAAGAAAATTTTCTTAGAGAAACTCAAAGCCTTCCCAGAAAAAGAATATCTAGACCTCCCAACAGATTTGATGAAGAGAATTACTTCTCACAAAGCTTGACTGCTGACATGAACGAACCATGTAACATCCAAGAAGCTTGGAATGGTGAAGACAGCAACAATTGGCGAACAGCAACTGATTCAGAGTATCAATCATTATTAGATTGTGAAGGGAAGAATATAGTAGGATGTCGTTGGGTATTCAAGGTAAAGCGAAAGGAGAATGGATCTGTGGAAAGATACAAAGCAAGATTAGTGGCGCAAGGTTACTCTCAATCTGAAGGTACCGACTATGAAGAAGTTTTTTCACCAGTAGTTCGTTATGCATCAATTAGATTATTGCTGAGTGTGGCGAACATACACAACTGGGAAGTTCACCAAACTGACGTAAAGACTGCCTTTTTGCAAGGTAAGCTAGAAGATGAAATTTACATGAAACAGCCGGAAGGTTATGTTGATCAAGAGAAGAAGAATTATGTATGTCGATTGAAGAAAAGCATATATGGTTTGAAACAGGCTGCACGATGTTGGAATTCTGAAATCGACAAGTTTCTATTGTCAAATGAATATCGAAAAAGTAATGCAGATTCGTGTGTCTATATAAAGTCCATTAAACAAAAGAATGGTAAAATCGACTTTGTTATATTGGCCTTGTATGTGGATGACATACTGTGGTTTTCTAATTGTACAGATATGTTGACTAAAGAAAAGAGATCTCTCGCTAAGAGATTCAAAGTCGAACATGTTGGTGAAGTAGGTTACATTTTGGGAATGTCAATAAAGCGCAACCGTCAAGCTAAAACACTTAGTATCAGTCAGTCACAATATTTGCTTGGAGTACTAAAGAAGTTTGGAATGGATGAATCAAAACCAGTATCAACACCACTAGATACGTCAAAGAAGTTTGTATCATTATCTGATAATGAGAAGCCAGTAGATGTTCAGAAATATCAAATGGCAATAGGTTGCTTAACATATGCAACTGTTGCAACTCGTCCAGACTTAGCTGCCGCCGTCGCAACTTTATCTAAATATATGTCCAGACCAGGTAAAGATCATTAGCAAGCAGTAAAAAGAGTGTTTCGTTATATCAAAGGAACGATGGACTATGGTCTTTTCTTTACTGCAAATGGAAAAGATTCTGATTTGTATGGTTTTTCAGACGCCGATTGGGGTGGTGATGTGGAGACAAGACGTTCTACATCAGGGTATGTTTTTCAGATTCAAAACAGTACGATAAGCTGGTGCAGTAAACGACAGACATCTGTATCAAGATCTACAACTGAAGCCGAATATATTGCTTTGAGTTCAGCTTCACAAGAGTGTATCTGGCTAAGAAGATTACTGAATGATATTGAATTGTTGAAACCTGTTCCTACAACAATTTACGAAGATAATCAAGGAGCCATTCAATTGTGCAAGAATCCGAAATTTCATAATCGCACAAAGCACATTGACATATCCTATCACTTCATTAGAGAGCAAGTTAATAAGAACGCAATATGCGTAAAGTATTGTCCTACAGAATCAATGATTGCTGACATTATGACTAAACCATTAAGCAAGCCTACGTATGAACGTTTTAGATATCTTCTTGGTGTAAAACAAATTTAACTTAATAAGTAATTTAGTTGATCGTTAAGTGGGAGTGTTAAAAAAGGAGTGTTATTTGTTGAAAACGTCTAGAAACTATTAATTTTTTCATGTATAGTCATGGAGAATAATGCAAATATTCACATATGGTCATAGAGTATAATAGTCATCGTAGCCCCAAGCGTGCTGCGCACTAAGCAGAAATCTACGTTTCATTCACGATGACGTCATCAATAGATATAAAAACTGAAAAAATTTCAATTCTATAAATTTCTTACTACCATTAGATATGCAAGCAAAAGACGACTAAAACACGGATATTAAACCGTCTACTTTCAAGACACCACTAATCGAAGTAACAGCGAATGTTTTTACAACGATGGTTTAACACATAATTAGTTCAGGTAAGTTTCGCGGAACACATCAGCCGCCATTTTCGAGCTAGGTGGAATTTGAGCTACAACAATCATTTTTGGTGCCGATTTTTAATTACGACAAACCTATCACATATGATACGTTTTTATTTTGTTGCGTGTGTAATGGAAGCCTTTCCTTATATCTTTCTCATAGCAATGTAGTTTTCTGAATTCGCAGCTTTTTCATTTACACGCAGTTTGATTTGGCAAGCGTAAAATCAAGTTTTGCTATTTTAGGCTGTTAAAGATAGATAGTTGAAACAAGGAAGTGTTAATGTATGTAGAAAAGCTATATTAAAACTATGAATGGATGAAATAAATTCTAATCCGACGCAAGAATTCTAGGTTGCACGTGAAAACATTCTGTTTACTGTTAACGTTGGAAGATGAAGTAAGTCCTTAGTGCAATTTCACCATCAGAAAAATGAATTTTCACAGTGAGTGTTGCTCAAAAGAGGTTTTCAAATTGCTGAATCACATTTGAGAAGTTGTCCAGGAATTTTTCCGGATATCCATTCGAAACAAAAATTTTGACTTTTGAATTTCTATAGAAAGATTACGTGTTCATTTATCTCTGTTTTAAGCGTCATCTCTCAATTTAGAGATGACGTGACTTTTGGTAATATTATAATTATCTGTTTGTAAATGTAGATCATCCAGGTTGGTATAGTCCTGAGAAGGACTGTTTTTGTTGTTGTTGACTGACGTCATTTTGACTCTGAAAATGACTACCGTTAAGGTTGTCGAAACGTCAGTCAACAACAACAAAAACAGTCGTTCTCAGGACTATACCAACCTGGACGATCTACATTTACAAACATGTAACGATACTCCCGGGTTCAAACCATTTACTTTATTATAATTATCGCATGATGCCACCTGATGAGTAGTCTGCGGAAATGCAAAGTGTCTTTTAGCTTTAAAAAACAGTTCGTTTTGAATTGTTGGTTAAGTGTTCTGGCTTAAACAGTTCTTTCAAGAACTATTACGTTAGTATTTGACCATTCACCATGGTATTTCCTCGTTTTAAGACAATTTATAAATTTGTCACTTCGACAATTTCTGTTTACTACAATGAATATTGCAGTTTCTTAATCACATAAGCCCACACCTTATTATTCCAGCTACATAAGCTCTTTACTTAGTTTATTAAAACTTTTATAGTCATAGTCCTCAGTTGCTTTATATGAATATGACGTGTATGGTATACATCTGCAATGGAATAGTCTTTACAACACCCCACGACGTACTTAACTATCCGCATTCCCGACAAGGACTCTAACCTTATTCGTAAACATAACATGGCTTATTAATGTTGACAGTTTTCGAGACGGTGTATTCTGAAAGTATGACGTTTGCATCTATAAGCGTTTACTTCTATGAAGCATTATTTTGCGTAGATAGACCCATGTTAAACAAACCTGATGAACGACAATGGCTTCGTCATCACGGCAACCTTTATAAAGTCCGGAGAGAAGCGATTCAATGTATTGTGTTGCATTGTCCTCAGCATAATATAACATGTTGCGTAATAGAGACGCTGCCTAAACAAATGAAAATATGACTACGGTCAAATATGCTATAGACAATATTTCACTGGTATAAAGTCAGACGGGCGAGTTTCTTTAGAAGCAAGTAATTATAATGAGAAAAATAAAAAGTTCGCATTAAAGGTACGCTCACGTGCAAAATTTATTCTAAACAGGACCTGATTAAGCAAGGGCGTTATGGGCGGTCGCCAGGGGCCTAGCAGCTTTGAGGGCCCAGCGCAGAGCAATTATTTTCAATGAAAATATTGCCTTTGTATGGCAAAAAAAATTCGAAAACTGCAACACGGATGATAGGATTTTAGTTGTTAAATAAAACTTCATGTTACAGAGTGTTGCGTGTCGAATGTTTCCATTAAATGTTAAGTTGGCGTTTAATTAGAAATTATGGATGGGAGTTATATGTCAGTAAAATTTATCATAAGTAACAATGGGCTCGTCATTGCAAAAAAATCATAGTTGAAAAATATCACAATTTTTATTGCAATTATTATTTTCTTTTTAAAACAAAAAAATATTAACTTTTCAACAGTTTTTGTGGATAAAAGAGGTCAGTTGTGGGGGGGGATAGCTTTTGGACGCCAGGATCCCCGAGAAAGCTTGATCCACCCTGACTCTCAGAAAAATGAAATTGTTGGTTGGCAAACTAAAATAATAATTACGGACTCGATATAGTATCTTACTTTAATTCTAGCAGCAGCAGTCCAATCAGTCATATCCCTCAAGATGGCAGGAAGGATTTTTGACATATTACGTTCAATGAGCGCACGGCAGCCAAGATTTCGTCTTACTCCTCCTAAAATATGGACATAAAACTGTAAGCAGTGCACATTGCAAGTCGGCTAACCTAATTACGTCGTCAAACTTAGAAATTAACCAATGTAAAATTTGACGGTGCACTTCGATAACATCCCAAAATCACTTTAAATAGCGTCATTATATCTCAATACTTATTGTAGATATATGAAAGTTTTTGATTAAACTATCAGAAGAATTTATTTTGAAAAATCGAATTTTTCATGATGTCTTTCCTAGAGCCACCTTAAAAAAAATCAAAACGGTGTAAACACTTCCATAAAGATTGCCAAACTCGAGATGAAAATGCATATATTTGCTCGAACGAATATCTGGTCGGTTTTAATTTTCGGTCACCGATGAAGCTGGGATTAAAAAATGAAAGAATCACTTCTCTATGATGAATTCGCCATTACACTTGTCGGGTAAATTAAACGTTTTTTTATGTGCGATGCTTTCTTTACAAAGCAAAAAAAGGAAATCGTAAGACACTTCGGTAAAAATACGAGATGGTGAAGCATTTATTAGCAAATATTTTTGCTGGGTTTAATAAAAACAGTTGACCAAATCAATAAAGAAAATGGCGCAAGTTACAGTTTTCGGTGTGTTGACCTGATGTTAAAAGTCTGCTAAACAAAGCAAAATTTTAGGCAAAAATGTTTTTTAAGGTCAAGTGTAACTATAGCCATTCATCGACTGGTGCAGCGAGAGACAAAAATAAAAAAACAATAATCAAAGCCGGTGGCCAAATTGCATGTTCTTTCTGGAAAGCAGCAGCAGGTAAAATTGATCACGTAAAAACAATTAAATTGGAGAAATTCTTAAGCTTTCTCGTTATTGTTCATTAAATATGCAAGTTACAAAGTTTCCATGAGTCACGCAGCAACTATAAACGTTTTCCATTCTCTTCTAAAACGAAATTTTTACAAATAATCACAGGTCTTTCTTTCTCACTGTAATTTGATAAGAGAACTAAGGCCTGCACAGTGCGTCTCTAAAAAATATACACACTCATTTATGCATGCATATATCGATTTGCCGCGACAGTACTTAGATGAAACTCAAACTAGTGAGGTCGCTTGTTAAAATAATACGCAATAATACCTCCATTTATCTAAAAATGTTCAAGCTTGGCGCAGATATTATCCACCTTATGTTGATTTGAAATTTTGACAAATGCTCTTGACCAGGTACATGGTTATTGACGTCACCACTTTTAGTGAGAATTATTAAAGTTCAGTTGTTCAGTGAGGTCATGTAGCAATTTATTCATATTATTACACGCATCATCGACAAAGAAATTTAATGCTCGTCAACTTTTACTTAACAAACATGGTCTGAAAATGAAGCTAAAGTTTTTTGTATGTTTTTCTTAAATGTAGCATGCTCATTAAAAAAAAATAGATGGAACAGTTGGACGCACCAAATGTATTGGGGAACTATTTTATACAGAATGTAGCTTTCAAATACTTACTTTGTGCTTATGTGGACAAGCGAAGCCAGCCCGTTTTTTAGTCGTACAATGCAAATATTTTTGTGTTTAATCACTGAAAAAATATGAACGGAATTGATTTTCAAAACATACAGGCAAAAAATTGAATGGTTTCGCCATTGATTTTTCATTGGCGTTCATGAGTAGATAAGAAGTAACTTTGTCACACTTTGTCACGGAGCTCTTACCCGTGCCAGTTAGTTTCCAGGCCTCGAAAGTTTACCGGTGCGCGCGCGTGTCTCCCGGAAACGGGTTAAATCACAGGATGGTGGGAATAATCGGAAATACGACAAAGCTGGAAGTTGCATGCTATTGGTAAAGTAACATTATATCTGTTTTCCTGTTTTCATAGCGAATATAAAAACGTACGACCCGGTACATTTTATTGAGTTATAATAATTTGAGAGTTGAAAAACATATTATATTTTAAAACTGAAACAAACATCCATTTACTTTTTAATGCCAAGAATGAACATGTCGCTCGTATCAATATGGCTGCCTCTAAGTTCTGGAATGTTATTTTAGAAAAACTTGACGAGGATGAAAGAGTAGAAGGGCAACTTGATAATAATGACGAGATCGTGTTCACTAACATTGAATTTATTCAAAAGATATGGAATTTATGCATTTTTTATGGGTATATTAAAGAACATTTTGCTCTCCTAGGGAACTTTCTTGACGAGATGAAATACCAACCTTGAACATATCGCTCCTACCATTATGAAATAATTTATTCATTCGGCTTATAAACCAATTTTATTGGTTAATAAACCGGATCTATATCATTGTGTATTCATTCTTCAAACTATATAGTCAAACTGTCATTTTGGAAATGTTATTCGTATTGACCGTTGCTGTGTATTTTTTGGACATTTGTTGGCAGTGGTGGAAAAGAAAAAGGCATTATGGCACACTTGTTTGATCAGATATATGCAGACATTGTTGAATTTGAAGAAGCTAGTCACAGTGATCTTTTCAATTTGATTTTGGTCGAGTTTCTTCACATGAAAATGCAACAAAAAGAACTAGGTGCAATAAAAGAAAGTCCATAATGTGATTCAGGCAAAGTGATGGCAGAAGAAGATGGTTTGGTTTTGTACAATGTACGTTCGATGATTTTAACAGAGAACATGTATGGTATTCAGTTTGCGAGGCTTTCAAGTTTATGAAGTACGGTGAACCTACAAATTCTCACAGGACATACTATGAAAAACGTTTGAAATCAACATGGATGGAACTGATGACTATTTACACTCAAACAATCAGACCGTCATTTTTTAACTATTTGTTTGATTATGCTAACTGTTGTTGTAAATTAAAATATAAAACAACTGTATGAGATAACTTGCATCGTTTTAATAATTTTTTTGTTGTTGTGAACTTAAATCCTTGATTCAAACGATAACGATGAACGCTTTCTTTGGGCGTGTTAGGTAGACGATACAAGGCTGCTGTTAAACTGTGAATACACCTGGTTTGCAATAAAAGCACTAAAATTTTTAAAATATCCTCACCCGAGATCTGCAGATAAACTTTGTCTACTTCAGGTGTACGGGCAACAAACTGAATTAATTTATCTAATGTATACGCAATTAAGAACATGTAGTTTTTCACATCTTTGGACTCTTCTTTAATAATTCATGTGTAACAATGTAACAAAACGCACACTTCAAAAATGTATAAAGTTCAATTGTAGAAAGTGATAGACCTCATTTCTTCCTGTGTTCAAGTAAAGGCACTTAATGAAAAAAACATGGGAGCTTGTGGGAGTAAAGGTGACCATAAAATTTTGAAAAGGGATAAAAATCATAGTCGTCAGAAAATGTTTCGTTTTGGCATAAGTTTTGGTCGCAACGACCTCAATCTTCAACGCCATTTGCAAGCAGGATACACTAGTAAAACAATCAAAAATTATGGACCTGCCGCTGTTAAACCTACAGCAGATAACCGAGGTAGTAGAAACATTGCCTACAATTGAAAACAACAATTCCATCGATCATGATTAGTAAAAGAAATTGACACATAAGTGTAAAGTTATTATCATAAGAGAATTGCTATGAGTGACATCGACAAATACCTCGCCAGTGTATACTTTGATCTTAAACGTTCGGGAAGCTATGGGGGTGTTGAACGTTTGTACAATGATGTAAAAACTGAAGGGTTACATGACATTAGTCGTGAAAAAATTAAAGAATGACTCAAGAAACAAGATGCATACACGCTGCATAAACCAATACGTAGAAAGTTTCAAAGAAATCGTGTCGTGGTGAATGGTATTGACGTCCAATGGCAAGATGGACCTAGCAGACATGTAATCTTTGCAAAAGTACAACGATATCGTTATCTTCTTATATGCATAGATGTTTTTTCCAAATATGAATGGGCTGTTACATTAAAAAACAAGACAGGGTCATCGTTGATGGAAGCTTTTAAAAAGATTTTGTCATCAGGACGTAAACCGGCCCACATTCAAACAGATCAAGGTTCGGAGTTTTTCAATCGCGACTTTAAGAAACTTATGTCTAAGAAGAAATTTCTTTGTTTAACACGTTTAACGGGACCAGAGCATCGATTGTTGAACGTTTGATACGTACACTAAAAACGAAGATGTGGCGTTACTTTACCGCAAATAAAACGATGAGATACATTGACATGTTGCCCGGATCTGATGTATTCTTATAATCATAGTACGCATCGTAGCATCAAGGAAAAACCGATTAACGTTACTGGTAAAAATGAAGATAGAATCTGGCAAAATTTATATGAGGGTAGCAAACTAATTAAACCAACTGCCGAGGCAGTTGCAGCACATCGTTTACACAGCGAAAACATTAATTTACCGTTAACTTTCACAAGAAGTACAGGGAACAGAGGCGTAACTAGAACGTTGATTGGGGAGTGGGGGTGCATATTCATATATTTCGTTGTGCCCTACTGATTTCTTACATAACGAGGCACCGAATTGTAGTCTACACCTCGCGCATAACAAATATCAACATTTGCTATTCAGTATTACTAAATTGCTGAGTTATTGAATTTTGTTACTATGTTTCATCAGAATGATTACGAACTACGATAATACCACAAGACAAATTCTGCAATGCAGGCTGCACCATAGTAGTACCAATAAACTCGCCAACTACAGTCGAAAGAAAGCGTTATATTAATCCGAAAAAAGCGTAAGCGTATTTATCCTATGTTCAACCACTCGGTAAGATGACAAATAATAATATTTGGTGAGCAAAGGTTCCAGAGTTTCGTTTGTATAATTTTTGGTTTGTTGCTGCTGCGTTAATATGTGTGAGCTAAGAAATATTTAATACGCGAAGTTTGAATAGTCGAAGTAAACAAGATACCGTCTGAATTACAATTTGCCTAACCTTTTGAAGTTAGGATAAATTCTTTGATAATTATCTAGTCTTAAAAGAATACAGCAAAGCACAGTCCAAATGGTAAAATCAAAGTCACATAACAATGCCACTACTCCATATCACACGTGTGTAAACAGC